CTGCATTTGTTTGCGTAGTGGCAAACCAATGATTTTTTGGAATCAGTTCATTTTTAATTTTCTCATTTACTCAAGATTTAAAGCAATATATAATGTATGATGACACTAGTATCCATGATACTTTGCTGGTCTACTTATAGGACTTGGAATTTAACTTGAAGGAGAGTTTATAAAAGTCTTAGCTTTTCCACTATGTTTGTTTGCGTGCCTTAACTCACACTGAGCGATGAGAGATGACGAGGCACTAAACAAGTGCGTCTTGTTTAACAACGTTGCTCGTTATTATTTAGCTTGAAAACTTAGCTCTGTGATAGATCGATAATCAGATATTTCTTATTAACTCTTTCCTTGAAGGGTTGGCAGGTCATGACCAAAAAGTTCGTTGACGTTCCAGAAAGACCAAACAACAACAGTGATTATACCAATATTTTCAGAACATGCCCCACAAAAAAACTGAATTTTTCATTATTCATCATTCATGCTCATACTAAAGAGCATGAATTATCAATGAGATTCAGAAATGTTCTCAATACGTATAAAATAATAATTTAAGAATTGATAGCAAGAAGTTGTCATAATCTGAGATTCTGACAAAAGTTAAAGTTATTTCTAAGTTTTTATTATCTGTCATACTAGCAACAAGAAAATCCGAGCATAAAATATACATAACTATGCGAGACTGAGGCGCCATGCATGCAATAACTGCAAAGCTTGTTTTATTATCTTATCGAGCTCCCGCGATAAGCCGAAATTTTTCTCCTGAGATTTACATTGGCTTGACAGCGCCTGAAAGAGGCGGCTAGAATAGCGCCCGCTTTCAACTTCAGCAATGCATAATGCTGCCTACAATGCAGAATGCTGCCTACAATGCATAATGCTGCCTACAGTGCATAATGCTGCCTACAATGCATAATGCTGCCTACAATGCATAATGCTGCCTACAGTGCATAATGCTGCCTACAGTGCATAATGCTGCCTGCTCTCTCGCACTCACTTCAGTGCATAGCACTTCTCGCACTCACTTCAGTGCATATAGCACCTCTCGCACTCACTTCAGTGCATAGCACCCCTATCAGTCGCCGGAATGCGTATAGGCTGAAGACTGCATGGCAGCTCAGCAGTAATGGACGCAGCTCGGAGGCCGACTTAGGAACCATTCTGGCAGAAAAGGATGGACGTGACCTGATTTTTGAAGACCTTCAAGCCTGATAGATTTCTTGCCCCTCGCTACGTGTACAGCAGGCCAAAGGAGACGACTGATCTGGTGCTTTTAGAGGGACTCGAGCGTAAGACGGGCGTCTTTGTGGCCGTGCGATTCTTTGGTGACTCCAGGAATGCTAACATCTGAGGCGTCGAGTCCAGCGGGGACGTTAGGCAACCTCTGGCGGGAACTTTGATTTTGTTTTTATTTCTCTGTCATTCTCTCTAGTAGATTTATTCCTTCTAAACTTGATCCATGAAAAATAATTTCGATGCTTGCCGAGTGTAAAAACTGTAGATCCGCTGACGGTCAGAGGGCTCTGCAAAAATTGTATGCTTAAGTCTGTACATATCATTAATCAGCTCCATGCTCTAACTGTAGAGCTTTTAAAACTCATGATTGCAAGAAATTTGTGTGCGCGTTTTAGCGATTATTCTCAGTGAACTACCTTCAATTGGATGTTGCTGCATGGAAACGATCGTTACTATAGGAGAGGTTCTGAGATGAGAAGATACTGTGAACAGCTTGAGAGAGTTTGAGATGAGAGAGTTTATAAAGGTTCATATTGAGAGAGTTGGAGAGAGAGTTTCTCAAGGCTCATGAGAGTTTATAAAGATAAATAAAAAACTAGTGGAAGAAATTCACAATATTGCATATGGTTAACAAGAGCATTGTAACCGCTGATATCCAGCCGATGTTCGGTTGCGAATCATCAACGATTGTCTTCACGTTGTACAGAGGTTAACATGAAAAAAGAACGTAGTAAAATTTAATTTTAGTCTGCACGCAGAACAAACAATTACACCTTAGGTTCACCAATACCCAACGGGTTGATATTACTACGCATTGGTCTGCAAAATAAATTTTAAAATTTATAATTAATTCATAGTTATAATGTTTGATAACATTTACTTGTTTCAATCGGCTCATAGTACAAAACAATTTAGTCAGGGTTGCTAATTAATGATAAGCTTATCCACACCTTACCACACATTATTCAGCGTCGAGACAATAAATGACACCTGGTACAAGTGCAACAAATGAAATTAGGCCAAATTAACAAAAGCCACGCGAAATGCGGCAGAGCTGCGGGTCCATATGTTGTTCCAGATTTAGAAGAATTGAGAGCTTGCGGATATAAACCGAGAATAACAAAATGGCATTGATCCGCGATAGAACAGAAAATTGGACTCGTATGCGTGGCTTTTACCGGATCATACAGATGAATTGGGTTGTTTGCTGTAGATAAAGTCAATACTTTGGCGTTGAATAAGTAAACGAATATGGAGAAATTTTGCCTCCCGATACTAAGCGCTCCCGACGTCACATCGTATTGAATGTTAAAGGCCCAACTTATCGCAACTGATGCTGCTATGTGTGGCAACATTCACTGTCATCGTTAAGACGTAGGAACTTCCTAGCTTACCATACAGCGACGGTCACAGGTGAGGGGTTAGAATCAGCGTATACGGTGTTATCGAACAATCCTGAGCACTTGAGGACAGGACCGTGAAGATAGATTCGGGTTCAGCCCCGCGGAACATTTGTACTGAACTGTTGGCAAAGTACAAGTGTGTACTTTGATTTTAGTATACTATACAGTACAGCATGTTCAGAACTGTGTTGTACTGTTTCTCAGTTTATAAAATCATTTACTGGTCGGTAAAATCACTCCTTTCAGCATTTATCCGCTAAAAGTTTCATTGTTTTTATTTCTATCTTCCTTGAATTGAAATTTATTATAAGGAATGCCATGGTTAAATTAATACGTTGTTTCTCTGAATGAGTTTCCGTCAAATTTATTGTTTACTCAGATATAGAAATAATGCCAGTTTTATTAGGAATTTTTTTGAGTTTAATTTCTCAAGCTTTCTGATAAAAGGTACATTAATAGGGTCAACAAGTCTTAAAATTTGTCTAAGAGGTTAAATAAATCCTGCAGCGCGTAATCCTAAGGTTAAATAAATCCTGCAGCGCGTAATCCTAAGGTTAAATAAATCCTGCGACGCGTTTCGCTCATCACTGAGCATCTTCAGGCAATAAGGTCAAATAGCTCCTATAGCTGCGTTGAAAACCAAAATTAACAAACTGATCGGAGCAGCTATAGCCACGGCAAACCCTATAAAATTTTCCAGCCCATTACAGGAGAAAATAAGCCTGGCTACACCTACGGTACAGTCAAGACTCATAAAACAGGAAACCCACTACCGCCAATAATTTTTGAAGTCCCAACCCCAGTGTATGGAATCGCTAAACAATTGAATCGAATGATAGTGTCTTACATGCAGTGTAAATACCAGATCAGTTCGAGATGACTTTTTGCAAATTATCCGAGCAACTAATCCACACGGTATCCATGCTTCATTGGATGTAGAATCACTATTTACAAACGTTCCTGTAATCCCAACAATCGACTTGGTTTGTTATCTGGCATACGCCGACTCAACAAAATCGCCCCCGCTGAACAATGCAATGCTTAAGAAGTTGTTAATTAATACCCTGCACGACTGAATGCCCCTTCACCCACACAGATGGAACTCTGTACCTCAAACAGATGGGGTCAGTTTGGGGAGCTCCTTAGGTGTCATTCTTGCCTCCTTGGCCTTGGGAAGCCCCTTATAGGGGTTACTCTTTGAAGAGATGATTTTTACACGCTCGATAATCAAAACATGACAAATACAGTCAAACTACTTGGAGGAAATTTAATAATGGTATTCCTTAGCATAAAGTACTCCTATTTAGATAATATTCGTATAGCAAATAATGTCTGACCAAATAGATTATAAGCAGACTGTGGTTAATTGGCTGTAGTTTGGTAACGATAGAGTGGTTGCGTAGTTTCCATAACGTGATTGTCCTTGCTTCTACACGAGCGAAACCTGTGAGCATGAGACAATTCCCAACTAAAGTATATATTTTCTCGAGATGATAAACTGACTAGACTTATGTTCATGCGCACACGCGCTAACTGCATGATAACTTGCGCATGCTCGCTATCAGTGAACTGCGCCTCCTGTGCTAACCACGTGGTCGTACAGAGCGGCTCCGCGCTATTGGCTGACGCCGGCCTTGCTCGCCTCGTGCTGCGATAGGCGACCTGCTGGGTCCTCAATATAAGTACTTTTTCCTTATACAATTGCTTGTGTAGTCTAGGTTCTATATTAGAATAGCTAGGATGGAAGTCGTTAATGCCAGTCATTACTCTCACTTCTAGGAGACGTAGTGCACTAATTGCTCATAGTGCACTCTCGTTAACTCGTATTTGTTGTCACGAGTTGAACGTATAGTGTGGAAGTGCGCTCGGCTCTTGCATGCAATACGCAAAGAGCCAATAAGAGAAAAGTATTAAATTTTGAGCTCTTAAACATTAAAACCATGCATATAGTACAATTAAAGATAAATATATTCGAGTATCAAGGAAGTACGATGAATGATTGAGTAACATACGTCAAAATCAAAATGAAACTACATAATATTATGATAAACATCACATAGCGGGTCGAATGCATTGTAGGCCGTAAAAATTCCGTTGCTTCATCATATGATGCATAAATAAATTTCTTTTGGGATTCAAATGAACCGTAATTTCATTTTTCGACAACTTTATCGTCACATACTACATATACACAATTTTTAAACTTTGGTGTTCAGCCAGAGCGAGAAATTGCAGTGATAGTGAAACTACTGGGGCTAGAAACTAAATTACCTAAGACCTGGTACAATGACATGTATCACTATAACGTAATCAATGTTTTTTACGATGAACATTTAAAAATTTTCATGTACGCATTTCTTTTGCAGGTGATTGTATATGTAGATATTTCAGGAAATTTGGACAGAATGAGAGTTTTGACCTTCATTTTGGTGCTGGCGACGGCTGGCTTCTCCGCGGCCCGAACTGCAGGTAAGGCAATTGTTACCAGCCTCAAATTACGTTTACATAAATTAAAGAGATAAATTTTTTATTCTTCCTTAAATATGAAAAAACTCGTCTTGTATTACAGGTATCCAAGTTATTCCAATAGTTTATAAGCTTTACAATGAATTATGTTGTCTGAAAATAATTTTAACCTGAATTAGGCCTTAATTTTTCTAGCGATACGTGATGTCATTCAACCCCAAGAAATAAATTAAACCATAAATTTATTTTGCTCCTCTATATCGTCTATTAAGTATTTTTTAAGTGTACAAATACATTTTTACATGAAAATTGTTTTTGTTTTTTACGAACAAACAGTTATACAAAAAAATTTTACGGTTATACAAAACATTTTTACATGAAAATTGTTTTTGTATAACATTTTCGGTTATACAACGACATGTTGGTGCAGGCGAGCCCAAATTGCGACCAGCCGACGATGATGGCGACCACCGCAACCTGGGAGCTCACCCCACCCCTCGTCAACGCGTCATGGAGGACGGCAGCCTGCGCGCTCTAGAAGGTAGCTGTGACCATCGTGTGTGTATACATGTATAATAAATATACATAAGTTAGGTAATAGTGCGACGCTTTTGATGAAATTCCGCGACGGATGATCAAATTGTAATTGTGCATTGTCAATCTTTGACCACACAGTTTAATTACTCGTTCGTACCAAACGACAAAATAAAAAGGATTAGGTTATATTAGTTTGAATAACTTGGGCCTTTACTTTAGGCGTTGCCACTTAGGCCACATAATAGTCAAGTTTGTCGTGTTTCATTCAAGAAATTGAAGGTTCGAGCATTGATGAGAGTTCTCATGCACAATCAATTGCTTCGTGTGCTCCGTAGTTCTAGGTCGAAAAGAGTGTAGATCGAGTCGTTCTGGGAGTTAGCTCATTAATATGCAAAATACACAAATATTTGTATTGTGCATTTTGTGTTATTTCATTAAACTGCGCGATCGCTCAGATTCGGCGTTCTGGAACGCGAGATGCCAAGCGGAGCTAGCCGACCAGCTCGCCAAGACGCCCATCGTGAGCCAGGCCAAGAACGTGATCGTCTTCCTCGGCGACGGCACGGGCATCGCCACCTTCACAGCCGCCAGGCTCCTCAAGGGCCAACGCTCTGGCAAATACGAGCTCGAGCAGTCCGCTTGGGAACGCTTCCCCTTCTCCAGCATCATCAAAGTGGGTTGTGGTTACCTCTTGGACCCGTCAGTTTAGCTCAATTATAATCAGTTACGAAATAAATCTCAATTAAAACAGTGAACAGTTACAACAGATGACCAATGGAAGGTTTTGTCAACGTTATTTAAGAGGAGATTGACCATTAACAAGTCTGTTAAAGGTCAAGGTAGATTAAAATCAGTCTCACTACAAAATGACGATATTCTATCGTTCATTTATAGACACTCAGTGGCAACGATACTTATTCAACATAAATTACAACAAGACAGGGAATCATATCATTCACTGTTCCTATTAATCATGACGCAAACAAATGATTATGAATTTGTTTGAATCGCAAAAGTAATTCTACTGACACATCGTTTCGACACTTGAAGATATCATCATTCCAGGATCCAGCAGCACTTTTTTGAAGTCCAAACTTCAACATCTCAACCAATTTTTCGATTTCAAACATTGTGCTGGACTGATGATATATTCAGTAGGAAATTGTTTCAGATTCACAGCAACAGTTCTCATGCGAACTGACAGGTGCTGCCTGGCAGATCTACAACACGGACCTATTTTAGACTCCCAAAGATAGTCCGCCATAAACATGAGGCATTTCAAACACAAAACATGAGGCATTTCGCTTCTCAATGACATTCCGAGTTAAAAGTGAGAAGTTCCCTATTGCAGACTTACAACACGAATCTATTTCGGATTCACAATGACCGTCCCAGTTAAGAGTGCGCGGTTCTCTATCGCAGACCTACAACACGAATCTATTTCGGATTCACAATGACAGTCCCAGTTAAGAGTGCGCGGTTCTCTATCGCAGACCAGACCTACAACACGAATCTATTTCGGATTCAAAATGACAGTCCCAGTTAAGAGTGCCCGGTTCTCTATCGCAGACATACAACACGAACATGCAAGTCACGGACTCGGCCGCCAGTTCCACTGCATACCTCAATGGGGTGAAGGGTAATCAGGCGACCATCGGCGTGGACGCCAACGTCTTGCTAGGCGACTGTCTGGCCATGAACATCCAGCAGTTCCATACCGAGTCTGTCCTCAAGAACTTCCAGGTGACAGACATCTTATATTTGCCCCGTGGCTAATATTGTGGTTCTTTTCCTTGGTACCTGAACTCTTCTTCAGCATCCCGTATTAGCAGCATCACAGAAATAAGTACGAGTCTCTTAGAAAGTGTGACTTATCTTTATTCGTGCTTCTGTTGACCCCATTTATTGTATATACGACCGTACTGTACCATATATCTGTGGTTTTGCTCCCATCTCTCACCCCTAGGTCCTCTCCTCCAGGGGCGCGTTCCTGCCGCGAACTCGAAGGGCTTGTCCCAGAGGATGAAAGACAGCAATCCCCCATCTTCGTCATCATGACGTGACCTCGACTTTCGACCCACACATCACTTCACTAACTCTCATCTTCACCTGCGTCTAACCCACCATCTAACGCATCTGACTGCACGAGAGCCCAGACTTATCGTTTCCAACTGAAAAGATAGACCCTAGGATACCGACCGACCAGAAAATTTTCGAATATTTCAAGAAAACTTAACGCCCATTTTATTCAATTGCCGCTACTGGCTTTTTCACCGTGGCCGACGGCACCTCTGCAATTGACCAGTTGAAATAAAATGAAGCGACCAAAGCATTCAACAAAATCAACATGATATCTATAGTACTTGCCAGCATTAAAATAAAATGGATAATTTACGCACTACTCTACAGTGACGTAGGAAGCCACGCTGTCGACGAAAGTAAACACGAAATCACACAACAAAACTAGCTGCACAGGGATGAGATCAAAATAAAAAATTATGCACAAGTCATCAAAATCACACACACAGAGAAAGCATAACATACTAACAAACGGAGTCTACTTGTATCAAACTAAAATAACATCCTCTGTATGCGAACAGTACCAATCTACGCACTTATATATTTATGCCACACACCGATGCAAGACCACCCCACACACCGATGCAAATCTACCTCTCTCGAGTTCCGATTGCGCCGTTTAAAACCACACCCACACCCAGTGCACTAACACCAACAAAAATGTCTCAACTGCTACAACGATCACCGCACCCTAGCAGTAAAATGTCCCTATCGCAAGCAACAAATACAAAAAAATCAAAATAATAATCACAACGAGAAACAATCAAACACAAACGTATCTGGACATAGCCAAACAAATGATAAAAAACATTCCACAAGATAGCCTGGCGCTGACCAACAGGACACAATTAATATCAATAGATATAACACTAGATGCTCACATTGTCAACACCTCCACCATCCCGCAATAAGTGGTTCGACAGCTTTTTATCAAATTCAAAATCACTGAAAACCCACTACGATATCAACACAATTTTTCCTGAAATAGACTCCGCTAAAATATTCAAATTCTTTCTTAAACAAAGCCTGAAATCAAGACTCCTGACACTGCCTTTTATGTCAGAACTGAATTTAAAGATGGCGACGACCTAAGACGAACATCCCTGCACCTGTCACGACTACAAACTGACGACAAGAACCCAAGCCTTTCATTCACAGGCACATCATATTTTTCACTAACAAATCAAAGGATTCAACTTCATTGCTAAATTCCAATAATGAAAAACTTTCTTGTGATCAAAAGGGTGTAATTTAGACATCATTGAGGTGGTAATGTTTGTACTCAACTCCATACCTTTTTTTATAGAATTCGATCAAGGTCGAATAAAAAATTGTTAGATGATATTAGTAGGCGAGGAATTCCACCATGTGACGTTAACTAATGAACGGCCCACTTTATAGCTGAGGCTTTATTTAGAACGGTCTAGAACAATACCAAAAAAATTGTAGCAGATTTTGAACACAGAATGGTTCGTTCGAAAAGTTTATCACCGAAACCCGCGTCAAGAGAAAGTCTTGGCATGCATGCGTGCTTCTTGTCTCGTTTCTGAAAATTGCTCAACGGTTGCAGGTGACTCCCGAAAGCTCACCGTTTTTATATCTTGATAGGCTGGATATCGATATTTCGCAACTGGTTTACAGTACCTGGGCTTTACATTAAATCGATAGATGGAATGGCTTTTTTACGTGGTATTTAGAGTGAATCCTCAATTAAAACGTGGTCGCAGCATCTAATTGGTCCCTTGGCTGAGTTTTCAATTCATACCTGCTCAGTGTTTCCCATTAATCCCCAAATTGGGTGGGGATTAATGGACAGGGTACTTAATTACTGGGCAGGGTGCTTAATTAAAAGCTGTAAATAATGTCCTAATTGTTTTCTCGCCTGGTTACCTAATAGTCCCTCATGCCTCAGGACGCTGGTCGTTCCACGGGCATCGTGACGACGACTCGAGTGACGCACGCATCCCCCGCCGGCAACTACGCGCACACTGCCGAGCGGTGAGTTTTGTGGCCTTGAATTTCAATTTATCATTTCCATGCTAGGTACTCTGGAGCACATGTTAAAATTAATTTAAATGATACAATAGAAACGGAAATGTAGCAGCAGGATTTGAATAATGTTTCTAGATACAAAAATAATATTTTGCCGTGTGTATTTTCCAGACACTGGGAGAGCGACGATGATATCAACGATGACAACGGCGACCCAGACATGTGCGATGACATCGCTGAGCAGCTCGTGCTCGGCAACACCGGCTCAAAAATCAAGGTATTTTAGTAACTTCATTCAAGATGGTTTTCGGTGTAGTAGGCACTCTGGCGTGTTCAGTGTTCACCCGCCTTGGTACTAATTTCCAGGCTGGTTGTACTTCATTTAGTTGCATGCATGGTTGCTACATTGCACGGGAATGAGACGGCGATATCTTATATAAGCAGCTATAATCGACAAAAAAATATAAAAATTAGATTGAACTTCATGATAAGGAGGTCTATCTCCTTACCTTGCTTTTTATAACTTTTTCTAAACATTCCATGAGAAAAAAAATTATTTTGATAAATCTTTAATGATGCGTAGGTGATCTTGGGCGGAGGTCGCAAGAAGTTCCTACCCAAGGACGCCGTAGATCCTGAGGGCGAGACTTCTGGCAGGCGAGACGACGGCAAGAATCTCATCGACACGTGGATCAACCAGAAGAACCTGCTGGGCATGAACAGCTACGTGTGGAACAGGGACCAGCTCTTCACAGTGGACACGGCCAATACAGACTACCTCTTAGGTCAGTGCCTTACGAACTGCTGTGGCCGCGCCATACCTTGAGCCAAAGAGGTAGAATTTGAAGCGGTAAAATTGAAACAGGACGCATCGGAACTACTTTGTTCTGTGAAAATTGATGTTGTAAACCTCAATACAGTAGGAATAAAACTCTAATAAACAATTATTGACTGAACCAACACACCAAGAAACACGTTGAAATACAAAAGCAAATCATTCCGATAAATTTCAGCGCGATCGAAACTCAACTAGAAACATGAGGTAAACGGTAAATAAGAGGTACGACGAAAGATGGCATTATAAATAATGTGTTTTAATAAAAATAATCCGTCGTGGTTGAACAAGACGAGTGTCGCACACGTTAGGGACTTGAAAAAAATTGGATACAGTAACATGACAACACCGCAGGTGACTGACAACGTAGGAGTAGTACTAAGAGGCCTGACTAGAAATCAGGCCTACCAGGGGACGCTACATAAATATACTAAGATGCAAACCAAGGTAGGTAGAAGGTACGCACCAACAAAGTCCCTACAACCGATAGACAAAAACCGAAATTTTTATTTGAGTGCGCATGGTGAAACAACCGGTGAACGGGACTCCTAAGGCGAGTGTCAACCCGGTAATACCACATCAGAGCCCGCGGCTTCGGAAGCCCTTGATATACACTGTAGTTACACATTGCCGTTCCTCACAACAGCCCACGACAAAGTATTTCAGGTTGACCATATTACACTAACCTTTTTCATTTGATATTTGCAGGTAACACAACGTAACCGAAGGATTCCAGCCTCATTGCAATACAAGGCAAACCAAACGAAAACTACAAAGTTTCTTCAACAAATTAAATTGAGATGATCAAAAATTATTGTTTAGGTTTGTTCGACTACGGCCACATGGAGTACCGCGTGGAAAACGACTCTTCCAACCCAACCTTGTCTGAGATGACACGAGTGGCTATCGAAGTCTTGCAGATGGACACAAAAGGCTTCTTCCTCTTCGTGGAAGGTCAGTTTTCCCAATTGAAAAGTTCTTCTGTAGCCTCTACCATCCATCCACGCTACTTATTCAGTTTACTATACTTTTGTTTGTGCATCGCATCTTCTGCTCTAACTTATTGCTTCTCCACCCATTTCGCATTTTTCACCACACGCTCATGCATTCACCTCTCATCACCCACGGGAGGGTTCACAGACTTGGTTCGCCACCATCGCATAATTTTACCGCCCACTCCCCATCACATAACAGACTCATCACCACATCGAGATGCCTTGGAGGGTATTGACACGCCCCCCAACACCTTCCACCACATTAAGACCCTTTCATCACTCACAGGATAGATTTGAGCTTAACTTGTAGCTCACTTTTAGTTAACTGAAAGGCACGGCCCGCCACCCTGTCATCACCTTAATTGTCTCTCATCACCCTCAGGAGGCCTAATAGACACAGCTCACCACCTTAACGAGCACAGGTCGGCCGTCGAAGAGGCCTTTGAGTTCGAGAAGGCCGTTGAAGTGGCCGTGTCAATGACGGATGTCCAAGATACTCTCATCATCGTCACGGCCGACCACTCACAGCCAATGACCATCAACGGATACCCTAGCAGAGGCAGCGATATTCTGGGTGAGTCCTTGTATGGGTGAAAGTCTGGGTAAGCCCTTATATGGGCGAAGGTCTGGGTGAGTCCTTGTATGGGTGAGGGTCTGGGTGAGTCCTTGTATGGGTGAGGGTCTGGGTGAGCCCTTGTATGGGTGAGAGTCAGGGTGAATCCATGTATGGATGAGTTCTCGTTTGGGTTAGTATCTGCCTATGTCAGTCCAAGCAATACTCACTCACTCATTTTTTCTATTAACATCGGATGAATATTTCATCTTTCATTTATCCACATCAACATTATGCATTTTTCCTCATAGGTTACGATCTAGTCTGATACAATAAGGCTAACTGGTACTACCAATTACTGTAATAGGTACTGTTAAATAAAGAAACACAGACAGATTGAGAAAATTTTCCATCAATTGATATTGGCAATGAAGGAATTGATTGGGAACCACTAACAAAATTCTGCGTATCAGCATACTATTTATTTTGTTTACTTGGTTCATCCGGTGAGTGTATGGAAAATGTGCCCCAGCACTGCCAGCAGAGGTCTTAACACATAATCGCCTAGATTGACTCACTGATATCCGAAGACTGAGTGTGGGTGTGTGGGGCAAACCTGGCGTCGTGGACAGAGGTTCCTGCACACAGGTTCCTTGGTACAGGTCATCCGTAGACAGGTTACCGGGATGTTGGCAAGGCAATTATCTACTTACGGGCGCATGTGCTATAACAAGAGTCTAATGAGTTTGGGTGTGTTGGGCAGGTCTGGCGCCGTGGACCGAGTGGGTTCCTGCACACAAGTTTCTTAGTACCGGGATGTTGGCAAGGCAATTATATACTTACGGGCGTATGGGCTATAACAAGAGTCTAATGAGTTTGGGTGTGTGGGGCAGGTCTTGCGCCGTGGACCGAGGAGGTTCCTGCACACAAGTTTCTTAGTACCGGGATGTTGGCGAGGCAATTATCTACTTGCGGGCGCATGGGCTATAACAAGAGTCTAATGAGTTTGGGTGTGTGGGGCAGGTCTGGCGTCGGTGTCGGACGTGGACAACATGCCGTTCACGACGCTCATGTACACCAACGGCCCCGGCTTCAGGGACCAGAAGAATGACCTCAGGCCCAACCCCGTCGACGAGAATTACGGTTACTATGCATTAATATTTTCTGTAATGTGAATATTATAAGTTTGTGTTTCTTGCATGAAGAGTGTCAATAGAAATACATTGGGTAACGAATCCCATCGGTCTGGATATTACCGGGACCAGAACTATTATATTCTTAGTGGAAGAATACTTAGGCATTGTTAAACGATGAGAGGTGAGTTGAATAGAAAATTCAAATTTAACTTTATATTAGTGTGTGTAAATTTGATGTAAAATACATCAAGTATTATGTTAGATTTAAATAAATCGAGTCAAACCGGATTTCGGTGCGCTATGAGAGTTTGATTATAATTAAAATATTAAGGATAACGTGATCCAGGTAGGCGAGCATGGGAGAAAACGGAACTTATAGTAGCCAGTTTCGCACACAGATCTTACAGTCAGGGCAAATTTCGAAGACATGGGACAAATCTTAGTTTTTTTATCAATATCAATCACTAATTTTTTATCAATAGTGAATGAATATCGAGATATCGAACAAATCCATCAGCACGAAAGGTAGAAATCCCGCTTTGAACAATCTTGTTCAATTCGAAAAAGTTATTATTCTGGTGTTAGGCCTCAGTCGAAACCAGTTCAATAAACACCATTCTCAACTTAGATTCACGCCTGAATTTAGAAGAAACAGTTGGGGCTCATCAAAACAACACTATTTAATTTAATAACTCGAGCAATAACCTTTAATTGCTGCTGTGCTCCAGAGGATCCTCACTACGTGGGGCAGGCGACCGTGCCCATGGTCGAGAGCAACCACAACGGGGAAGACGTCATCCTATACGCGCGTGGCCCCCACGCGCACCTCTTCACGGGGATCCACGAGAATGCGTACATCCCCCACGCGATCAGGTGCGTACATCCCCCACGCGATAAGGTGCGTACATCATTTACGCGATCAGGTGCGTTCCAACCGCAATTTATCCGAAGCATACACCGAGTGTGATGCAGTGGAGGAACTAAATTGCATATGAAAGTACATACATAATTATCTCATTAGGATCAAGAACAGGAAATAATTTTGTTACATATTCCTAGGTACGCTGCCTGTGTCGGGTCGGGCTTGAGTTTCTGCAGCGCTGATGCCTGAAGAAAAACTATCGTCTAAATATCGTCAATTGCCGGACATCTGAGCGGATAACACAAAATAATGTCGAAGTACCGTCAATTGCCGGACATCAACTAAGACAAGACAAACTAACGTCGAACTATCATCTACCGCTGGATATTAGCTCGAATAATTTGACAGTTAATTTTAAGCGGTGAATGCAACCCAGGGTTTTGTGTGCCAAAGCTGCCGAATTTTTATTATACATATCTAATATATGTGAATGAATAATCTCTATCATTTCGCTTTGCGTTTTTCGTTTATGTTCAAAGTGAAGAAGCTCTGAATCAGGTTCAAAGTGAATCAAAAATCGTGTTTGTCACGGTTAACTCATGCACGACTGATGACTGAATGTTTTTTCAACCAGTTAATGGGATAACAAAAATCTATAAATATTGTACTCCCAGTCACTCAAAGTGCGTCGATTCTCAATATCAATTCATACGAATTTTTGCATTGAAGTTCTGTCATCAATTCTAGCAAATTTTACATTAAAATCCCATGTAAAAGTTAATAATTCGCTGTAAACATCTAGAAAAAGACCATGTAAAAGTTAATAATATTCTCAAAAATTTAAGAAAATGTTGAATTATTTTCAGTGGAAACGTTTCAGGGACCAGCACCCTCAGTCACAAAGTAAAATAATAATTCACGCACAATTGATCTAAAAAATTCTACACAACCTTGATTGGCAAATAGAAATCATGGTAAATTGCAGACTATCTGAATATAAACAATTTCTTGCGGAAAAAAATATTGTCATAGTTAAGACAATGTTTCTGGCAAAAAAATATGTAAGGAATATAGGTAACATTTGTAAACTTGGAACATAAGTTGCGGGAGCTGAAATTTAGAGACCTCAAATAAACAGGTACGTCAACCTGTCAGGCTTTAATTTAATTAAAGCGCCCAGCTGAATGGGGTGGATGCGCAAGAGGGTTTCTAATATGATAATTTCTACCCCGACGTTTCGAATATTGATGTAGAAGTTACGAGCCATCCTACTGACGTACGATGATGCACAATACGCTTAAATGTGCCTGTAAATACGACATGACAGTATCTGCACAGAAATGATATCTAAATCACTGTCAGGTAACTTTGTCACACGTCACCACCCATACCTTTAGTAGCATCACTCGCGTCACCTTCTGTGACGTTATTGTAGTAGGTCAATATAAGCTCCTTAAGCATCCCCTGAGGCAGTCTCAGACCAACATCTCTTATCTGTAGTTGTTGCCCAGCCACCACACGCCTTTATTTACGTGCTGACGGCTCCAACACTCACTTGATCACTCTCGCTTGTGTCGATATTGCTACCCGATCTAATCCTGTAATAACACCTCACTGTGCCTTATCTTAAATAAATACTAGTTTACAGTTGCCACTCTTTCCTTCCTCCTCATTATATCGTTTGGATAATAATTCGAACCGAAACTTATTGAGACATTTTTCTTGGTTAAAACTGGTCCCGAGTGTTATTGAAAAGAAATCCGGACATTACTGAAGAAGACACAAAATTCGAAATTATTGACCGACCAATGAAGTAAACTTTTGGAAAATATTTCACGAATAAAATTTATTCAAGATTTCCAGTTCAGAACCAAAGTCAAAGAATGATAAATTATAATAACTTATTTTCCTACAATCAAGCTTCAGAATGATGCTTATGCATTATGAACTTCTTGAGCTGAGTGAACTAGAAAGTTGATGGAAACTCATTCCAAGCAACATTATCGTATTTATTTAATTTTGGCATTCCTTATAATAAATTTCAAAACAATTGAAAGGATAATATATAAATAAAAACAATGAAAATTTTGACGCACGCCGAACGGAGTGATTTAACCAACCCATAAATTATTTTATAAACTGAGAAACAGTACAAGACAGTTTTGTACATGCTGTACAAAAATTTGATACTAAATACTAAAATCAAATAAATACTAGAATAAATACTAAAATCAAAGTACACAATTGTATAGGAACAACGCTTCAGTGCAAATGTTCCTTGGGGCTGAACCCGAATCTATCTTCACGGTCCTGTCCACGGTCCTGTCAGGTTTGTTCGATAACACCGTACTCGCGGAACTGCTTTCGCGGAACAAAAAAAAGTGAACTGTTAGCTTTGATCGCAAACGAGTGCATAGACATTATTGGTATTACAGAAACACTTCCCAAAAATCACGGGGGGGTAGGGACTTGTACCTATTGAATTTCAGTTGCCAGGTTTTGACTGTTTTCATAACTTAAATGAAGAGCAGTGCAGTAGGGGTGTAGCTTCGTGAGTTAGAACCTCTTTTGGGGCCCAGCAAGTCAAGTTATCTGCAGAGCATCAATCAGCTAGAGAATCAGTGTGGTGTGAACTTACTCTAAAAGGCAAAGATAGCCTCCTCATAGGGGTCATTTATAGATCACCTAACGGCTCCTCTGATAACGATGAAGTACTGAAACAGTCTTTTACCGAGCATAACTTTACGTAGTTCACACACGTTGATCGTTGGTGATTTTAATCATCCAGAGCTAGACTAGACAGATGGATCCTCTCCAAGGGATGAGAATCACCCATCATCCTTGTTCATTGAGTCTCTGAGAGACTCCTTCCAAGTCAATCGCATTACCAAGCCAACCCATTATAGAAGTAAACAGACTCCCAATATTTTAGACCTGGTGTTTACTAGTGATGAATCAATGTTAGATGAGCTTCGTCACTAGGCTCCATTGGGCAAAAGCCATCACAAATCATTGTTTTTCAGTTCAGTGCTGGACAGAAAAGACGCCTCGGAAACGCGAACGTTTGAATTTTGCGAAAGGCGACTATGATAAACTCCGAGAAACAGTGAATACAGTGAATATTTCGAACTGTAAAATGGACATGAATGTAGCTGAGTCATGGTCATTTCTCAAGGACACGGTTATGTCTGCAGTTGCTGTATGTGTACCTAAAATTAATCTTGGTGGAGGCAAAAAACTCAGTGGATGAACAGTAGAGTTCTAGCTAAGCTGAAAACCAAGAAGGAAGCCTACAAGCGATAAATACAGACTCGTAGCGAATTTTCCTCGAATTTTCACAAAAATGTACTGTAACTCCTGTGTATAAGAATGGTGATCTGATGTAGTCGTTCTCCGAGGTGGTAATGTCTCACAATGAGCATGAGCACCTCTCTATAAAGTGTTACTCGCGTGATATTAAATAAACAACACCCATTCCCTGTGACCGATTTAACGTACTTTGTGAGGGGCTCTTTATAAATAAATGAATTGAGCTGGTGATATACCCTGGCAGTATACTGTATCATCATTCAGTATTACACTGTAAGAAATTATATATTCCACAGAAATATTTTTCAGGTAACCTCTCTAGGTTAAGTCCTGAGTTCTCGATTAAAGAGTGCTTAATCGGGGTAATTGGTCGGTCTGCGGTCGGGGTAAGTGATCGGAACCCTGAAGCTGTTTATGCAAATTCGGGGGTAATCGCTCAATTTTTTGTTGTCAAGATTCAAAATAAAATTGTGAGTAAATGATCAGGTTTTATTCGGGAATAATTGGTTAATTTTGTTGGGTAAGATTGTGGTAACCTATGATTTAAGCTGTTTATGCAAAGTGTGACGGTACACCCCTTCTGCTATCTACATAACCTATATAATAAAAATATCGCAAAAAATACAAAAAATAAGCGGGAACCCTTCTTTTTGTACGCTAGCTTGCACGGACTGCGTTTCTGATTTGAAAATGGATCAACGAAAGATATCCTCTTATGAGGGCAAGGCTAACGTTTTAAGTCAGTTTTTTAGTAGCGTATTCACTGAAGAGGACTTGAACAGTATTCCAGCCATTGCAGAGCGCCGAGTCAGCTCTAAATTAACAAGTTATAAAATACCAGAAGAAAAAGTTCTCAAGCGCCTGATCGCTCTAAATCCCAACAAGTCAACCGGACGGCTTCCACCCCAGATTACTCAAAGAGTTGCAACCGTCCTAGCCAGTCCTCTGGCGTCATTTTTTCAAAAAACTTTAAACGAAGTGATCTTGCCGGATGACTGGAAAGAAGCTCATGTGAAACCATTGATCAAAAAATGTGACAAAAGCTAGCCGGGCAACTATTGTCCTGTCAGTTTGACAAGTGGTGTTTACAAGGTAATGGAATCTGTTGTGAGGGATCGACTGATCGATCGTTTAGAATAGAATAGAAATGTCAGCACCTTGGCCTGTTGCCGATTCTTGAACTTTTCGTGACTTGATTCACAAGGGATTCGGCCTTTGGAACCCGATCTTTCCATAACAGACGATTGATTGAGATAGCTGCTGGACTTATTGTGTGGTCCGTAATTTGCTAGGCATTTCAAGACTGAACATATGCTCCTGCAGAGCTTCGTCTAGTCTGTTCTTGAAGGCGTTCATATACTCAGAGCGTCAATGATACTATCAGGGAGGCTGTTCCACATGTCGGTGACTCGAAGCGAGAAGAAATGTTGTCGCATGGATGTGTTTCAACGCAGTTTTTTCGTTTATAGCTGTGGCCCCTGGTGTTGGTTCTTGCTTCAAATTCTAGTAATCCTTCTGGAACCTTGTATAAGCCATGAGTATACTTGTATGCTTCAATGAGTTCCCCACGCACACGTCGATAACTGAGGCTTGGAAGCTTCATAATCTTTAATCTTTCCTCGTAGGACTTGCTTTTCAAGCCCGGAATTGTCCTTGTTACACGTCTTTGAACACTCTCTATTAAATTTTTGTCCTTTTCAAGTTTCGGTGACCACACGACGTTTCCAAACTCTAGGTTCGGGCGCACGACAGCAACAAACAACTGCTTCATCGCTTCTGCATCTAGGAAATCGAAAGAGCGTCTGATCAGTCCAAGTCGTTTATTGGCTTTATTAACTTGACCTTCAATATGCTTAGAAAATTTCAACTCATTGTCGATATTAACTCCTAAATCTTTTTCCATTGTCGACTTCGACATCATCACTCTGTCGTTGCAACCGTGTCTTCTCATACTGTAATCTTGCTGTTCACTATTCTTACCAAGGTGGATTACTTTACATTTGTCAGCGTTAAAACGCAGCTGCTACTTATCAGCCCAGTTAACCAGCCTGTTAAGATCACGTTATAACTGTACTTTTTGCGACGTATTCTTCACTGTATTATAAATTTTTGTGTCGTCAGCTTACATCGAGCACACGCTAGACACAGCTTCTGGCAGATCGTTTATAAACGCAACGAATAAAGCAGGCCCGAGAACGCTTCCTTGTGGCACGCCGCTGCGCACTGGAGCCCAGTCTGATAAGGACCCATTAATACTGACACGTTGTCGTCTCCCTACTAGAAAATCTCTGATCCATTTGAGTACATTGCTGTCAATTCCCAAAGACTGCAATTTCCGCAACAGCCGCTCATGTGGGACACTGTCAAATGCCTTGGCAAAATCGAGATACACTTCTTCTACTGGCTCCCTTTCGTCCAGCAGGCGGGTCCATTCGTTCAGAATAGACAAGAGGTTAGTGGTGCAGGATCTCCCAGCAATAAAGCCATGTTGACATTCAGATAGAAGATTATTAGCAGTCAAATGATCTATCAATCGATCCCTCACAACAGATTCCATTACCTTGCAAACGACACTTGTCAAACTGACAAGGCGATAGTTGCCCGGGCAGCTTTTGTCACCTTTTTTGAATAACGGTGTCACTTGATCTTCTTTCCAGTAAGCCGGCAAGATCCCTTCGTTCAAAGTTTTTCGAAAAAATTACGTCAAAGGGCCGGCTAGGACAGTTACTAACTCTCTGAGTAATCTGGGGTGGAAGCCGTCTGGTCCACATGACTTGTTTGGATTTACAGCGATAAGGCGCTTGAGAACCACTTCTTCTTGTATTTCAAAGCTTGTTAATTTAGATCCGACTAGGCGCTCCTCAATAGCTGGAATACTGTTCAAGTCCTCTTCAGTGAATACGCTACTGGAAAAATGATTAAGTACGTTAGCTTTGCCCTCATCAGAGGATATCTTTCGTTGATCTACTTTCAAATCAGAAGTACCGTCCTTCATCTTGCACTTCGAGCTAGCGTACAAAAAGAAGGCTTTCGTTTTTTTGCATTTTTAGCAATACTTTTTTCGAGGGTTTTCACTGCGGTGCGATAGCTTTCTTTAGCTTGATTTCGAGCTCTTGCGTATAGGTTATAGTCAGCATCGCTACGAGTCTGTAAATAACGCTGGTAGGCTTCCTACTTTATTTTCAGCTTAGCTAAAACTGTACTGTTCATCCACCGAGTTTTTTTTTTGGCTCCACCAAGCTCAATTTTAGGTACACACGCATCAGCTACAGACACAACTGTGTCCTTGAGAAATGACCATGACTCAGCCGCATTCATGTCCTTAATACAGTTCGAAATATTCACTGCATTCACTGCTTCACGTAGTTTATCATAGTCGTCTCTCGCAAAATTCAAACGCTCACGCTTCCGATGCGTCTTTTCTGTCCAGCACTTAAGACTGAAAAACAAGAATTGGTGATGGGTTTTGCTCAATAGAGCCTCGTGACGAAGCTCATCTAACATTGATTCATCACTAGTAAACACCAGGTCTAGAATATTGGGAGTCTGTTTACTTCTATAATGGGTTGGTTTGGTAACGTGCTGAACTAGGAAGGAGTCTCTCACAGACTCCATGAACAAGAATGCTGGGTGATTCTCATACCTTGGAGAGGATCCATCTGTCCAGTCTAGCTCTGGATGATTAAAATCACCAACGATCAACGTGTTTGATCTACGGAAGCCATGCTCGGTAAAAGACTGTTTAGTACTCTATCGTTATCATGTACAGAGGAACTGTTTGGTGATCTATACACGACGCCTATGAGGAGGCTATCTTTGCCTTTGCCATTTGGCTGTTAATTATCTCCTACCAGACTGTCAACAGGGCTTCATTGCCGGTAGTTCCTGCACCACTAACCCCTTGCCCACTCTGAATGATGGGACCCGCCTGCTGGTCGACAGAGAGCCAGTAGATGCAATATACCTAGATTTTGTCAAGTTATTTGACAGTGTCCCACACGAGCGGCTGTTGTATTAGTTGAAGTCTTTGAGAAATTATTGAGAGTAATGGACTCAAATGGATCAGAGATTTTCTAGTAGGGAGATGACAACGTGTCAGTATTAATGAGACCGTATCAGACTGGGCTTCAGTGCGCCGCGGCGTGCCACAACTCGCCACAAGGAAGCGTTCTCGGACCTGTTTTATTCGTTGTATTTATAAACGATCTGCCAGAAGCTGTCTCTAGAGTGTGCTCAACGTATGCTGACGACACAAAAGTTTACCATACAGTGAGGAATACATCGCAAAAAGTACAGTTGCAATGTGATCTTGACAGTTTGGTTGACTGGGCTGATAAGTGGCGTCTGCGTTTTAATGCTGACAACTGTTAAGTAAGTATGCAAAGTAAGCTGACAACTGTAAAGTAATTCAGTATGAGAAGACATGGTTGCAACGAAAGAGTGATGATGTGGAAGTCGACCATGGAAAAAGATTCAGGAGTTAATGTCGACAATAAGTTGAAATTTTACATAGATGCAGTACATACATACGAGTACATAGATGCAGAAGCGAGTTTATGTCGACAAGGAGCTGAAATTTTCTAAGCATGTTGAAACGCAAGCTAACACATCCAACAAACTTCTTGGACTAATCAGACGCTCATAAGAGTTCCTAGATACAGAAGCGATGAAGCAGTTGTTTGTTGCTGTCGTGCGCCCGAATCTAGAGTTTGGAAATGTTGAGTGGTCACCGAGATTTAAAAAGGACAGAAATTTAATAGAGAATGTTCAAAGACGTGCAACAAGGATAATTCCAGGCTTGAAGGTCAAGTCCTATGAAGAAAGATTGAAGATTGTGAAGCTTCCAAGCCTCAGTTATCGACGTCTGCGTGTGGACCTTATTGAAGTATACAAGTATACTCATGGTTTATACAAGGTCCCCGAAGGATTACTAGAACTTGAAACAAGAACCAACACCAGGGGCCACGGCTATAAACTAAAAAAACTGCGCTGCAACTTCTCCACGCGACAAAATTGCTTCTCGCTTCGAATCACCGACATGTGGAACAGCCTCCCCGATGACATCGTTGGCGCTCCAAGTATGAACGCGTTCAAGAACAGACTGGATAAAGCAATGGAAAAATATATGTTCAAATTTGAAATGCCTGGCACCATATCGAACCCTGTGGAAGTCTAGTAGCTACTTCAAACTATCGTCAGTCATGAAAAGTTTCATCATGTCATCATGTCATTTCATCACAAGAAAAATCATGTCATTTGACCACGGTTAAATGACATGATTTTAAATCTTCTGTGAATAAGTCACGAAAAGGAAAAGAATCGGCGACAGGCCACATCAGGCCTACACTTCAGCGCCGAGATCAATATGTTATGTTATGTTATGTTAAGCATATTGAAGCTCAAGTTAATAAAACCAATCAACGACTTGGACTGATCAGACGCTCCTACGAGTACATAGGTGAAGAAGCGATGAAGCTGCTGTTTGCCGCTGTCGTGCGTCTGAACCTAGAGTAGTTTGGAAATGCAGTGAGGTCACCAAAACTAGAAAAGGACAAAAATTTAGTAGAGTGTGTTCAAAGACGTGCAACAAGGAGAATTCCGGGATTAAAAAGCAAGCCTTATGAAGAAAGATTACGAAGTTTCCAAGCCTCCGTTATCGACGTCTGCGTGGTGACCTCATTGAAGTATACAAGTATAACCAAGGTTTATAAAAGGTCCCAAAAGGATTACTCTAATTTGAAACAAGAACCAACACCAGAGGCTACGGCCATAAACTAAAAAAACTGCGTTGTAACACATCCATGCGACAACATTTCTTCTCGCTTCGAGTTACCGACATGTGGAAAGCCTCCCTGATAGCATCGTTGACGCTCCGAGTATGAATGCCTTCATGAATAGACTAGACTTAGCCATGCAGGATCATATATGTTCAGTCTTGAAATACCTAGCACCTTTCAAGCCTTGCAATAAGTCCAGCAACTATCTCAATCATTTCGTCAGCTATGGAAAGATCGAGTTCATAAGGCCGGATCCCTTGTGGAATCAAGTCACGAAAAGTACAAGAATCGGAAACAGGCCATAGGCCTATTTCCTCAGTGCCGACAATACTATTCTATTCTATTCTAACCCCTCACCTGTGACCGTCGCTGTATCGAAGCTAGGAAGTTCCTACGTCTTAACGATGGCAGTGAAAGTTGCCTCTCGGGGCCGTCTCAGTTTAGATAAGTTCGGCCTTTACCATTCAATGTGACGTGACGTCGGGAGCGCTAAGTATCGGGAGGCAAAATTTCGCCATATTCGTTTGCCTATTCAACGCCAAAGTATTGACTTTATCTACAGCAAACAGCCCAATTCATCTGTATGATCCGGTAAAAGCCACGCATACGAGTCCAATTTTCTGTTCTATCGCGGATCAATGCCATTTTGTTCTTCTCGGTTTATATCCGCAATTTCTCAATTCTTCTAAATCTGGAACAACATCTGGACCAGAAGCTCTGCCGCATTTCGCGTGGCTTTTGTTCATTTGGACCAATTTCATTTGTTGCACTTGTACCAGGTGTCATTTATTGTCCCGACGCTGAATTATGTGTGGTAAGGTGTGGATAAGCTTATCATTAATTAGCAACCCTGACTAAATTGTTTTGTACTATGAGCCGATTGAAACAAGTAAATGTTATCAAGGCCACAGCAGTTCGTAAGGCACTGACCTAAGAGGTAGTCTGTATTGGCCGTGTCCACTGTGAAGAGCTGGTCCCTGTTCCACACGTAGCTGTTCGTGCCCAGCAGGTTCTTCTGGTTGATCCACGTGTCGATGAGATTCTTGTCGTCCTTTCGTCTGCCGGAGGTTTCACCTTCAGGATCTATGGCGTCCTTAGGTAGGAACTTCTTGCGACCTCCGCCCATGATCACCTAAGCATCATTAAAGATTTATCTAAATATAATTTTGCTTCTTCGAATGTTCAGAAAAAGCTATGAAACTCAAGGTAAGGAAACCTACTTATCCTGTTCAATACATTTTTTTGTCTATTATGGCTGCAAATTAAATATCACCGTCTCATTCCCGGCAATATAGCAACCATGCATGCAACCAAATGAAGTACAACCAGCCTGGAAATTAGTACCAAGGCGGGTGAACAGGCCAGAGTACCCTACACCGAAAACCATCTTGAATGAAGTTACTAAAATACCTTGATTTTTGAGCCGGTGTTGCCGAGCACGAGCTGCTCAGCGATGTCATCGCACGCGTCTGGGTCGGCGTTATAATCTTCTACATCATTGTCGCTCTCCCAGTGTCTGAAAAATACACAAGGCAAAATATTATTTTTGTATCTAGAAACGTTATTAAAATCCTGTTGCTACATGTCCATTTCTATTGTATAATTTAAATTAATTTTAACATGTGCTCCAGAGCACCAAGCATGGAAATGATTAATTGATATTCAAGGCCACAAAACTCACCGCTCGGCAGTGTGCGCGTAGTTGCCGGCGGGGGATGCGTGAGTCACTCGAGTCGTCGTCACGATGCCCGTGGACCGACCAGCGTCCTGAGGCATGAGGGACTATTAGGTAACCAGGCGAGAAAACAATTAGGACATTACTTACAACTTTTAATTAATTAAGCACCCTGTCCAGATATCCCTAGGACACCCAATTTAGAGATCACTGGGAAACACTGAGCAGGTCTCAATTGATAACCAAGCCAAGGCACCAATTACATGCGCCGACCACGTTTAGAGGGGACTGTTTTGACCTTATGGAAACTTTTTCATTTACAAACGGATCGTTTTGAAACTTGGTACACATATGTAAAACAGAAATCTAAGAACTTTTCGTTCGTGTCAATTTTTCAAAAGAAAATGAAAGAAAACATTATATTGATATAAAACGGCGGAAAAAAGGGGTACTTTAAAAATCTATCTCCTCCCACAAATATCGTGCTACAACATCGAAACACGTATCATTCGATTGGTAACGGCCATATCTAAAATCCATTCGGTCATTTTTTTTAATTTCAAATTTATTCGGGAGGAGGGGGGGATTTTCCAAAATATATCAAATTTCCCTCCCTCCGCCCCACCTTTTTGCAAAATATTATCCAAACTATAACGAAATCGAAAAAATGACCGGATGGTTTCTAGAGATTTTATTTACGAATCGAACGGTATATGTCTCATTGATGTAGCTTCAAAACTCTAGGAGGAGATGGGTCTTCCGTGACAATAACTGTGAATGTTTAGGAGAGCGCGACAAAGTCCCGCCCTCATCGCAATAGTCACTCAATGTAGCAGTGATACGAAACTAAACGTTTCTGGAGCTTGATTCCACTCAAGGATGGTGGGAGCGACTACATGCGCACCTCATCATACAACGCAAGGCGGGTTACTGAGCTGCACCTCAAAGGCTCAAACAAACACTGTATTTATAGTGCTGGGCAGCGAATTAGCTCCTATCTAATTTGTTAAAGAACTCCCCCCTGCCCCCTTTTCATGATCTGTCGTGAACGCATAAATCAACGTTCAGAGATGGTAATGGTACCGTTGGATAGGGCAGAATGTCAGCTTTAAGATGAGACTAAACGGGTAACTGAAGCGCAACTCTAGTAGACACTATATTTAAAGTGCTCAGCAGCTAATTAACTCATATCTAATTTGTTAAAGAACTCCAACACCCGCCCCCCTTTCATGATCTGTCGTGAAAGCACAATTCAACGCACAGAGATAGAAATGGTACCGTTGGATAGAGCAGAATGTCAGCTCTAAGATGAGACTAAAAACCGGAAAAGCCAAAATTTTCGATTTTTGACCGAAACGGTCTTCTTAACTGATGATTCACTCTAAATGTTTCTTAAAAGCCATTCCAGTGTGGGCCGTTCATTAGTTACCGACACGGTTGAATTCCTCGCCTACTAATAACATCTAACAACTTTTTAGTCGACCTTATTCAAATACTTTAAAAAATAGGCACGGAGTTGAGTACAAACATCATCAATTCCATGATGTGTAGGTCACACCCTTTTGATTACAAAGAAGTTCTCAATTATTAGAATTTAGCAATGAAGTTGAATTCTTCGATTCTTTAGTAAAAAATATTATGTGTGTGTGTGAGGGAGTGTCTTGGGTTATTGTCGTCAGTTTCTAGTCGTGACAGGTTCAGTGATGTTCGTCTTAGGTCGTCGCCATCTATAAATTCGGTTCTGAGTAAAAGTCGGTGTGAGGAGTCTTGATTTCAGGTTTTTTATGAAAAACTTTGAATATTTTAGCGGAGTCTATGTCAGGAAAAATTGTGTCGATGTCATAGTGGGCTTTCATTTATTTTGCATTTGATAAAATGCTGTCGAACCCCATTTTGCGGGAAATACTGACAATGTGAGCATCGAGTGTTATAGTTATTAATTTAAAATGTGTCTTGTTGATCTGCGTCAGGCTATCTTGTGGAATGTTTTTCAATGATAGTTTGTGTGTGGCCAAATATGTTTGGCTGGTTTTGTGTTTGATTGTTTCATGATGTGATTGTTGTTTGTTTCGTATTTGTTGCTTGCGGAAGGGAACGTTTGTTGCTAGACTGCGGTGATCGTTGTGGCAGTTGAGAAATTTTTGTTGGTGTTAGTGCTCTGGGTGTGGGTGTGGTTTTAAACGGCGCAATCGGAGCTCGAGAGAGGTAGATTTGCATCGGTGTGTGGGGTGGTCTTGCATGGGTGTGTGGCATAAATATATAAGTGCGTAGATTGGTACTGTTCTCAAAGAGAGGGTGTTTTTTTAGTTTGATACAAGTAGACTCCGTTTGTCAATATGTTATGTTTTCTTTGTGTGTATGATTTTTATGACTTGTGCATAATTTTTTATTTTGATCTCATCCCTGTGCAGCTAGTTTTGTTGTGTGATTTCGTGTTTACTTTCGTCGACAGCGCGGCTTCCTACGTCACTGTAGAGTAGTGCGTAAATTATCCATTTTATTTTAATGCTGGCAAGTACTATAGATATCATGTTGATTTTGTTGAATGCTATTCTCGCTTCGAATCACCGACATGTGGAACAGCCTCCCCGATGACATCGTTGGCGCTCCAAGTATGAACGCGTTCAAGAACAGACTGGATAAAGCAATGGAAAAATATATGTTCAAATTTGAAATGCCTGGCACCATATCGAACCCTGTGGAAGTCTAGTAGCTACTTCAAACTATCGTCAGTCATGAAAAGTTTCATCATGTCATCATGTCATTTCATCACAAGAAAAATCATGTCATTTGACCACGGTTAAATGACATGATTTTAAATCTTCTGTGAATAAGTCACGAAAAGGAAAAGAATCGGCGACAGGCCACATCAGGCCTACACTTCAGCGCCGAGATCAATATGTTATGTTATGTTATGTTAAGCATATTGAAGCTCAAGTTAATAAAACCAATCAACGACTTGGACTGATCAGACGCTCCTACGAGTACATAGGTGAAGAAGCGATGAAGCTGCTGTTTGCCGCTGTCGTGCGTCTGAACCTAGAGTAGTTTGGAAATGCAGTGAGGTCACCAAAACTAGAAAAGGACAAAAATTTAGTAGAGTGTGTTCAAAGACGTGCAACAAGGAGAATTCCGGGATTAAAAAGCAAGCCTTATGAAGAAAGATTACGAAGTTTCCAAGCCTCCGTTATCGACGTCTGCGTGGTGACCTCATTGAAGTATACAAGTATAACCAAGGTTTATAAAAGGTCCCAAAAGGATTACTCTAATTTGAAACAAGAACCAACACCAGAGGCTACGGCCATAAACTAAAAAAACTGCGTTGTAACACATCCATGCGACAACATTTCTTCTCGCTTCGAGTTACCGACATGTGGAAAGCCTCCCTGATAGCATCGTTGACGCTCCGAGTATGAATGCCTTCATGAATAGACTAGACTTAGCCATGCAGGATCATATATGTTCAGTCTTGAAATACCTAGCACCTTTCAAGCCTTGCAATAAGTCCAGCAACTATCTCAATCATTTCGTCAGCTATGGAAAGATCGAGTTCATAAGGCCGGATCCCTTGTGGAATCAAGTCACGAAAAGTACAAGAATCGGAAACAGGCCATAGGCCTATTTCCTCAGTGCCGACAATACTATTCTATTCTATTCTAACCCCTCACCTGTGACCGTCGCTGTATCGAAGCTAGGAAGTTCCTACGTCTTAACGATGGCAGTGAAAGTTGCCTCTCGGGGCCGTCTCAGTTTAGATAAGTTCGGCCTTTACCATTCAATGTGACGTGACGTCGGGAGCGCTAAGTATCGGGAGGCAAAATTTCGCCATATTCGTTTGCCTATTCAACGCCAAAGTATTGACTTTATCTACAGCAAACAGCCCAATTCATCTGTATGATCCGGTAAAAGCCACGCATACGAGTCCAATTTTCTGTTCTATCGCGGATCAATGCCATTTTGTTCTTCTCGGTTTATATCCGCAATTTCTCAATTCTTCTAAATCTGGAACAACATCTGGACCAGAAGCTCTGCCGCATTTCGCGTGGCTTTTGTTCATTTGGACCAATTTCATTTGTTGCACTTGTACCAGGTGTCATTTATTGTCCCGACGCTGAATTATGTGTGGTAAGGTGTGGATAAGCTTATCATTAATTAGCAACCCTGACTAAATTGTTTTGTACTATGAGCCGATTGAAACAAGTAAATGTTATCAAGAATATAAAAGCAAATGAAACGGCCAAAAATTTCACCATCTCTACAGAATGAAAACGTTTCGGAGTCTTGCTCCATCGTCAGTTCAAAATCTATATGATAAGCAGAATCAATTAGAAAACCTACCACAATGACGTCACAGAAGGTGACGTGAGTGATGCTACTAAAGGTATGGGTGGTGACGTGTGACAAAGTTACCTGACAGTGATTTAGATATCATTTCTGTGCAGATGCGGTCATGTCGTATTTACAGGCACATTTAGGCGCATTGTGCATCATCGTACGTCAGTAGGATGGCTCGTAACTTCTACATCAATATTCGAAACGCCGTGGTAGAAATTATCTTATTGGAAACCCTCTTGCGCATCCACCCCATTCAGTTGGGCGCTTTAATTAAAGCCTGACCGGTTGACGTACCTGTGTATTTGAGGTTTCTAATTTTCAGCTCCCGTCCTTTTTGTTCCAAGTTTACGAATGTTATATTCCTTACATATTTTTTGCCAGAAACATTGTCTTAACTATGACAACATTTTTTATCCGCAAGAAATTGTTAATATTCAGATAGTCTGCAATTTACCATGATTTCTATTTGCCAATTAAGGTTTTGTAGAATTTTGTAGATCAATTGTGCGTGAATTATTATTTTACTTTGTGACTGAGGTTGCTGGTCCCTGAAACGTTTCTGCTGAAAATAATTCAATAATTTCTAGAATTTTTGAAAAAATTAGTAACTTTTATATGGGATTTTTTATAGTCGTTTAGAGCGAATTAGTAACTTTTACATGAGATTTTAATGCTAAATTGTCTAGAATTGATGGCAGAATTTTAATGAAAAAATTTTTATGAATTGCTATTGAGAATCAGCATACTTTGATTGACAAGGAGTGCAATATCCATAGATTTTTGTTATCCCATTAACTGGTTGAAAACCATTCGTGCATCAGTCATGCATGAGTGAACCGTGATAAACACGATTCTTGATTCTTTGAACCTGATTCAGAGCTCATTCACTCTGAGAAAAAGGCAAGGCGAAATCTGAGACACAATTCATACACATATATTAAATATTTACAATAAAAATTCGACAGTGTTGGCACACAAAACCCTGGGTTTCATTCACTACTAAAAATTAGCTGTCAAATTATTCGAGCTAATATCCAGCGGTTGATGATATAGTTCGACGTTAGTTTGTCTTGTCTTAGTTGATGTCCGGCAATTGACGTTACTTCGACATTATTTTGTGTTATCCGCTCAGATGTCCGGCAATTGACGATATTTAGACGATAGTTTCTCTTCAGGCATCAGCGCTGCAGAAACTCAAGCCCGACCCGACACAGGCAGCGTACCTAGGAATATGTTATAAAATTATTTCCTGTACTTGATCTTAATGAGATAATAATGTATTTTCATATGCAATTTAGTTCCTCCACTGCATCACACTCGGTGTATGCTTCGGATAAATTGCGGTTGGAACGCGCCTGATCGCGTGGATGATGTACGCACCTGATCGCGTGGATGATGTACGCACCTGATCGCGATCCTGTCTCTTATACACATCTAGATGTGTATAAGAGACAGGTCATTGTGAATCCGAAATAGATTCGTGTTGTAAGTCTGCGATAGAGAACCGGGCACTCTTAACTGGGACTGTCATTGTGAATCCGAAATAGATTCGTGTTGTAGGTCTGCGATAGAGAATCTTAACTGGGACTGTCATTGTGAATCCGAAATAGATTCGTGTTGTAAGTCTGCGATAGGGAACTTCTCACTTTTAACTCGGAATGTCATTGAGAAGCAGAATGCCTCATGTTTTGTCTTTGAAATGCCTCATGTTTATGTCGGACTATCCTTGGGAGTCTAAGATAGGTCCGTGTTGTAGATCTGTCAGGCAGCACCTGTCGGTTCTCATGAGAACTGTTGCTGTGAATCTGAAACAATTTCCTACTGAAGATATCATCAGTCCAGGACAATGTTTGAAATCGAAAAATTGGTTGAAATATTGAAGTTTGGACTTCAAAAAAGTGCTGCTGGATCCTGGAATGATAATATCTTCAAGTGTCGAAACGATGTGTCAGTAGAATCACTTTTGCGATTCAAGTCAGTAGAATCACTTTTGCGATTCAAACAAATTTAAAATCATTTGTTTGCGTCATGATTAATAGGAACAGTGAATGATATGATTCCATGTCTTGTTGTAATTTATGTTGAATAAGTATCGTTGCCACTGAGTGTCTATAAATGAACGATAGAATATCGTCATTTTGTGGAGAGACTGATTTTAATCTACCTTGACCTTTAACAGACTTGTTAATGGTCAACCTCCTCTTAAATAACGTTGACAAAACCTTCCTTTGGTCAACTGTTGTAACTGTTCACTGTTTTAATTGAGATTTGTCTCATAACTGATTATAATTGAGCCAAACTGACGGGTCCAAGAGGTAACCACAACCCACTTTGATGATGCTAGAGAAGGGGAAACGTTCCCAAGCGGACTGCTCGAGCTCGTATTTGCCGGAGCGTTGGCCCTTGAGGAGCCTGGCGGCGGTGAAGGTGGCGATGCCCGTGCCGTCGCCGAGGAAGACGATCACGTTCTTGGCCTGGCTCACGATGGGCGTCTTGGCGAGCTGGTCGGCTAGCTCCGCTTGGCATCTCGCGTTCCAGAACGCCGAATCTAAGCGATCGCGCAGTTTAATGAAATAACACAAAATGCACAATACAAATATATGTGTATTTTGAATATTAATGAGCTAACTATTAGAACGACTATACACTCTTTTCGACCTAGAATTACGGAATTGATTGTGCGCGAGAATTCTCATCAATGCTCGAACCTTCAATTTCTTGAATGAAACACGACAAACTTGACTATTATGTGGCCTAAGCGGCAACGCCTAAAGTAAAGGCCCAAGTTATTCAGACTGATATAACCTAATTTTTTTTTATTTTGTCGTTTGGTACGAACGAGAAATTAAACTGTGTGGTCAAAGATTGACAATGCAAATTACAATTTGATCATCCGTCGCGGAATTTCATCAAAAGCGTCGCACTATTACCTAACTTATGTATATATTATACATGTATACACACACGATGGTCACGGCTACCTTCTAGAGCGCGCAGGCTGCCGTCCTCCATGACGCGTTGACGAGGGGTGGGGTGAGCTCCCAGGTTGCGGTGGTCGCCATCATCGTCGGCTGGTCGCAATTTGGGCTCGCCTGCACCAACATGTCGTTGTATAACCGATAAGGTTATACAAAAAACAATTTTCGTGTAAAAATGTTTTTGTACACTTAAAAAATACTTAATAGACGATATAGGGGAGCAAACTAAATGGATGGTTTAATTTATTTCCTGGGGTTGAATGACATCACGCGTCTCTAGAAAAATTATGACCTAATTCAGGTTAGATTATTCTCAAACTGCCAAATTTATGCCAATACTAATAAGTAAATGAATAACTGGAAAACCTTTGATAAAAAAGCGAGTTATTTTTAAAATTAAGAAAGAATAAAAAAATTATCTCTTCAATTTAAGGAATTTGAGTCTGGTAACAATTGCCTTACCTGCAGTTCGGGCCGCGGAGAAGCCAGCCGTCGCCAGCACCAAAATGAAGGTCAAAGCTCTCATTCTGTCCAAATTTCCTGAAATATCTACATATACAATCACCTGCAAATGAAATGCGTACATGAAAATTTTTTGAATGTTCATCGTAAAAAACATTGATTACGTTATAGTGATACATGTCATTGTACCAGGTCTTATGTAATTTAGTTTCTATTCCCAGTAGTTTCACTATCACTGCAATTTCTCGCTCTGGCTGAATACCAAAGTTTAAAAAATTTTATATGTAGTATGTGAAGAAAAAGTTGTTGTCGCAAAATGAAATTACGGTTCATTTGAATCCTAAAAGAAATTTATTTATGCATCATTTGATGAAGCAACAGAATTTTTATGGTCTACAATGCAATCGACACGCTATGTGATGTTTATCATAATATTATGTAGTTTCATTTTGATTTTGACGTATGTTACTCAATCATTCATCATACTTTTTAGATACTCGAATATATTTATCTTTAATTGTACTATATGCATGGTTTTAATGCTTAAGAGCTCAAAATAGAATACTTTTCTCTTATTGGCTCTTCGCGTATTGCATGCAAGAGTCGAGCGCACTTCTACACTATACGTTCAACTCGTGACAACAAATACGAGTTAACGAGAGTGCACTATGAGCAATTAGTGCACTACGTCTCCTAGAAGTGAGAGTAATGAGTGGCATTAACGACTTCCATCCTAGCTATTCTAATATAGAACCTAGACTACACAAGCAATTGTATAACGAAAAAGTACTTATAGTGAGGACCCAGCAGGTCGCCTATCGCAGCACGAGGCGAGCAAGGCCGGCGTCAGCCAATAGCGCGGAGCCGCTCTGTACGACCACGTGGTTAGCAATTTCTAGCTTTATTATCAAATATTTAAAAAAATAATTTTTAAATTTTATTCTAAAAGTAAAAATAAATTTAAATTTCTAAAAATTATTTATTCTGTCAACTGATACATGCATTGTCTCCGAATTTACGAAAGTGTGCAAAATTCCAGACCGATTGGACAGGTAGAAGTGTGTTAAATATCGATTTCTAAATTTGTAGCAGACAAACAAACAAACAAACAACAAGAAGTGAAGTTAAAGAGAAGTGTTGTAATAAGGCGGCGGTCTTTTTTTAATCGCTGGCCGCCCTTAATCAACAAGTCTAATTAAATCATTTAGTCAGGCAATATTGTTTTAATCGAATAGGAATGAACATTTAGGAATGAACATTTGTCAGGCGACAAGAAATACAACTCTGCACTGTAGTGATTTGATTATGATCTGTAGTGAGAGGCAAACGCATCAAAACTTTTATTTTCAATAATTTGAACTCCGGAGCCGCGGCCTCCACCTCTTGAACTGCATCGTCGACCACGTGAGTAACACATGCGCTGTGATGTGCTAGACGTGGTGCAGGTGGTGTGAGTAACACACGCGCCTGTCTCTTATACACATCTAGATGTGTATAAGAGACAGGGACAATCACGTTATGGAAACTACGCAACCACTCTATCGTTACCAAACTATAACCAGTTGACCACATTCCGCCACTAATTTATTTCTCCATTAGTTTTTCAATACGAATACTATTTGCACGAGATTATTTTATGATGAGGAATGTCATTGTTAAATTTCCCCAAATAGTTTGACTGCATTTGTGATGTTTTGATTGTTGAGCGTGTAAAACAAAGCATCCCTTCAAAGTTGAAATAGCCGTTTCTGCTTCAGATAGCCGTTTGACTGTTTAAAGTATTACGAATTGGATTTGAACATAGAGGCAGTTAGATTACATCGGATTCTCTTCGTATGCGGAGAGTTTCAAGAAACTAAATATATTTTCTCCTTACAAGTCTTGGCTCATGAAATAACAAAAATAGAAATTACAATTTATTCATCAACCAGAATCAATAATCACCTTCTCACGAAAGGCCAGCGTGACTAGTATAATACTGATAACGAGTGGTGTAAGTACTAGCTCGAGCATTATAAAAAAAATTGCTTTAGCGACTGTCAGGCCAAAGCCTCAACACGGCACAAACTGAAATAGGTTGTGATGGTGAGGTTCTAGCCCCCATGAGGCACGGCGAAAAGTGTGTGTAAGATTACAATTCTACCCATGCCCGGTGTTGTCCGTTAGAGTACCTCATGCCTTTCGAATAGGTTTACCAAGTTCTTATGATTCGGTTAGGGCTTGTGAAGTATTATATGAACGTCTTATATATACTGGCGCAGGAAGGTAACACATAAGCCAGGGAATTACCGAAATATAACGCATAAGAATTTACCCGAATTTCATGCGTTAGAAAAAATACCAATAATAACACGAGGTGTGGCAGAACAGAAGATTAGATTTAACAATTTGATGTTTCCTTAATTTTTATTTCATTCAAATTTACGTTCAATTTTAATTGAATGATAAAAGTTCCCATACAATTTTGGAATATTCTTTTTTTAAGTTTATGTTGAGTTTGTTTGTTTTCAGCCTCCATTATTGCTAATTGCACTGGAGCCGAGTCATAGCTCCCGGCCAGCGCTCTGGCTTAGCAAAATGCACGTGCACAGCTGGCCAAGACCGAGACGGCATTTCTGGGGCCGTATTATCAAAACTTCGTAAGTACGCAAAATCGACTTACGAGTGGCGTTGCTATGATAACGTAATACTAGCGGTGGTATTATAAAAACATTTGCGCGGGAAAAATTGGCGCGGGAAAAAAATTTAGGCTTTTAGCCAAGACTTGCGTACGAAAATTTTGATAATGCCAAAATTAGAGTGTATTTACGTACCACAGAACTTTTTGTCGTAAGTACAAAAAGTTACGAAGTTTTGATAATCCGGCCCCTGTGCAATGGAGCCGTTTAATATGCGCGAATCTGGCAGGAATGAAAAGTGAGTCTGTTTTCCCTTGATGTAGAAATGATGCAATATCAATAGTGAATTACATTTGAGGCTCCCAATTAACATTTTTAACTGAATTCAGATACTAAAATTCGTCCAATAATCGTAACAGATTTATCATTAATTTAAGCTAAAACGCGTTTTTTAAGTTACATGGTTTTGTGCTGAACTGTGCTGGAGCAAAGTTGGATCTTGCACATAAGCTGCACTATCAAAAAGTTAATGAAATGTCCCGTCTCAAACACCGTAGAGTTTTAATTGAGTTTCAGAAGGCGACAAATAATTGTTATCCTCTATCGATAAATATGGTTCATTCCTCTCGCTGCCCAAGCTGTGCTACGTGGACCAAGGGAGTTCAATGTCGTAGATTTTAAATTCTGAATGAATATTAATTTAGTATTGGGAAAAGCTAGATTTGCAATATTATTTTTTGCGGCATTGGCAATTAATGACCTGTCATAATTTAGAATTCCACGGTCCAGATAAAAACTTTAGTAAGTCTCTATTACAAACAATTTTCCATGCAACGAAGCATCTGTTATTGTATTGAAATAAGGCTAATATTGAATGTGCATTTACGCTAATATAAATATATATAGCCTTTATAATATTATATATAGCCTTTATAAACCATTACATGCATTGAGCCTTTATAAACCATTACATGCATTGAGCCTTTATAAACCATTACATGCATTGAGCCTTTATAAACCATTACNTTCAGCGTGGAGGCACATAGCAGAATGAGAAGGCTTGCAAAGCGGCAAATTCGAACGAAAGTGTCACGTCGCACTGTTCAGCGTGGAGGCACATAGCAGAATGAGAAGGCTTGCAAAGCGGCAAATTCGAACGAAAGTGTCACGTCGCACTGTTCAGCGTGGAGGCACATAGCAGAATGAGAAGGCTTGCAAAGCGGCAAATTCGAACGAAAGTGTCACGTCGCACTGTTCAGCGTGGAGGCACATAGCAGAATGAGAAGGCTTGCAAAGCGGCAAATTCGAACGAAAGTGTCACGTCGCACTGTTCAGCGTGGAGGCACATAGCAGAATGAGAAGGCTTGCAAAGCGGCAAATTCGAACGAAAGTGTCACGTCGCACTGTTCAGCGTGGAGGCACATAGCAGAATGAGAAGGCTTGCAAAGCGGCAAATTCGAACGAAAGTGTCACGTCGCACTGTTCAGCGTGGAGGCACATAGCAGAATGAGAAGGCTTGCAAAGCGGCAAATTCGAACGAAAGTGTCACGTCGCACTGTTCAGCGTGGAGGCACATAGCAGAATGAGAAGGCTTGCAAAGCGGCAAATTCGAACGAAAGTGTCACGTCGCACTGTTCAGCGTGGAGGCACATAGCAGAATGAGAAGGCTTGCAAAGCGGCAAATTCGAACGAAAGTGTCACGTCGCACTGTTCAGCGTGGAGGCACATAGCAGAATGAGAAGGCTTGCAAAGCGGCAAATTCGAACGAAAGTGTCACGTCGCACTGTTCAGCGTGGAGGCACATAGCAGAATGAGAAGGCTTGCAAAGCGGCAAATTCGAACGAAAGTGTCACGTCGCACTGTTCAGCGTGGAGGCACATAGCAGAATGAGAAGGCTTGCAAAGCGGCAAATTCGAACGAAAGTGTCACGTCGCACTGTTCAGCGTGGAGGCACATAGCAGAATGAGAAGGCTTGCAAAGCGGCAAATTCGAACGAAAGCTCCTGTCGTGTTGTTCAGACACGCGTATACAGAAGTTACACGACGTCATACCGATGTGCGCGGGTGAGCACCATGCACGAACGTGTTCATAATACAGGGTAGACCAAATCCGGGCATGAATAACATCCTTATTTGTGACGAGAGATCTAATTTCAAAATTATTCATTAACAAAACATGATAGTTAAGATGCGGAAAACATTTAAGAAATAATATATTAGATTCTCTGGGACAGTAAGACACAGTACACTAAATAGTTACCTACTATAAACCCCCCAAAATTAAGAAAATATACTGTATTGGTCGAAAATGGTTTCATTTGGTTAAAACAAAGCACGATGGCAAACAATTCAGCTGATACATTTTACAATTGGATTCAAATTCAGGATAAAAATCGCCTACATGTAAAACAAATCCTTTAGCCGTGGTGAATCAAGTTTTATAGACCATTCAATTTAAAACAAAATGAACAAAAAAATAAAGAAATTCTTACCAAGCTAGTAAATGTTGGTTTCCGAAATACGGATGTCTGAAAGCGACCGTTTAATTTAGTTACTCTACAATCGAGAAACGAAAAACCATTGTTGGTTTCCATTTCTATAGTAAATTTATCGATGAATGTTCCAGGTTGAGATAATCAAAGAAAATGCCTGAATGAGAAGGATGCTTGGAGAAAGATGTCATCAATATAAGCATTGTAAAAAATTAGGCTAAAATTAAGCCAATTGATGCATTTTAAGTGGTTAACTGAAAACTTTGCAACGTCATTTTTACTACGAAGTCAGAAGATATTTACCAATATATTCCTGGACGACGTTTTCCATTAGTTTAATTAAGTTAATTCTTTTACCGTTATTATCGTACATGCATTTCACCGTAAACTCAGCTAATTCAACACTTATTTCGCGACGTCTTTTAACCATAAAATTCGTACATTTGCGTCTAAAGTCAACTCTATGCTTGTTTGCTGACCAAAAAATAGGAACTTTGCACCCTAATTCCTTATGCGATTTTTAGCTGCACAGCGGTGTCCTGAAACTGCCGTGGGAACCTTCACATCTGCATGACACAGCAGCGTTCGCACAGCGTGGCCAGGTCGTGACCACAATATGGAACAAGAAGAATCTCTCACGATCTACTTATGCTTGCGGGACGAAAGCCATCTTATCGGCTAGACAGTCCACGTGATCAACAACCTGCGGTTTGTGCAAGAAGATTCGGATTCGTAATTAGGTCGCCATTATTACTCGGACGCCATTTTGATTGCAAAGTTGCTAAGTTATGTAAGAGTACTCGAACAGCTATAGATGTTCCTCTAACCTTCCTGTCTTTTTATGTTGAAACGATTTTTTCGAGCTATTTGTTCATATTTTTCAGTCTGGCTCAGATTGCATGAACTTGAACTACATTGCACCAGACCTAAGAGTTCAAAGTTCGTTGCTCGTTACTTTCCTGAAGCAGAGCCATACTTAAAGAACTCATTTATATTTATAAATCCAGTTTACCAACAGCACATGTCACATGACTTCCTCACGCTGTAAACATAATCGTCTACATGGCCAATGGCTGTTTTCAAGTCCGCGTTTCTCATGTTACCGCATCAGACTCTCTCAATGCGCACGATTCTGACGTACCGAATAGATCAAGCAGCTCGTTTACTAATGTTTAAGCTTCCTCTATTTCGAGTCCACTGTTTTTTTAGTTTGTCTACACTATATTAGCTAATCGTTTTCATCGTCATTATTTGGCTGGCGTTTCATCACCATCACTGTTAATATCTAATTTCGTTCATAAATTCCACGTTTGGAATTCTCAATCCTTGCACAATCAAATTATAACGCATATATATGTGGCCGATATTTTTACAACCCTCGAATAGTGTTCTAATTAAACAGTAAAAGAGTTATGGGTTTTGATGCCTATACATGTTTGAATGGGTTTTGATGCCTACACTTCCTCGACAATTCGTTTGTGAACTGTTTGGTAATAGTAAGTGCAACATCGATGACATCGTTCATTAGGCCGTAAGAATGTCATCTATTCTAAAAATCGCAGAACATTCACAGCTTGTTGCTGGTCACGAACACGCAATTCACTGCTCTAATTTTGGTGTGTTTGACCGCCCGTCATCCTCGCCGCTTACACCAGAACTGTCGCGCAGGTAGCTATGATTGAACCCACAACTCCAATCTTCATGTAAACACTGGACTACCCAGTTAGTTCAATTTTATTATAATATAGGTGCTAACAGTTACGAACGAATGATCTCATTAATACATTGTATTGGGTGACAATTAACTGTTTGGATGAGGCCGTTCGAACTGGAGCCTGTGCACAAAACCTGATATCAATTGGAAACACTTCTCGTCGACATTCATCATTGTTTGAATTGCCAAGAGTTTTATTTAACGCTCTTTGCATAATTTATGTAAAAGTTGACTCTCACTACCTAGTGCGTGTAAGCATTGAGCACTCTTATATAGTTTTGATCAAAAATCTCGATGAAGAAGAGCGTCCATGTTGCAGATGAAGTCTAACGTGGTCGCATAAAACACTCATACATGAGTTCGGGAATTGTGAATGACAGCAATCCGAGAAACCATTATTTATTACTCGAGACTAAAGGGACTTAATATGGTCATTAGGACCATTGAGCGACTTTAAATAAGAGTTCGAGGCTCACGCGCAAAAAAAAACTGCTGAGAATGAAAGCCTCCTGCAAACAGAGGAACGCGTCCCAGGTCTCTTAACACGTTGACCGCAATGCGCGCTATATGCTTACAAATTGAGCTTTTCAGAATCGCGATGCGTACATATTTATGTGGTACATGCCTGTGAAAATACATATTTTTATAAAATCATAATTCTCTTTCAAATTTACAATTTCAGTGATACACCTCATTAGGCTTGTTAGGGAGGGTTTTGAAGTCAATTACTGCATGGAGCATTTCATATCCAAATGCAAGTGGTACAAAATGACGGAATTCGTGAAATATAACAATTGGTTCTATTTTATGAAGCCTTTTTGAGTTTTCAGAACGAGCATTATCATTGAAGTGCACGAAGCGCAGAAACAATTAAAATCTACTATCTCTTGACATGTTACTGCAGACAAGCGGATTGTCATAAATTGTCTTTTTAGATCAGTAGAGTTCCAGCATCGGTATTGCCTGCTAATTCCGTTGCAATTATTAACCCAAAATTTTTCTTTATTTCATGAGCATTTGTAGGAGTCAAGCATTTCAGTCGCGATCGTCTTGTAATCTTCGTGTTCTGCAAAACTTGATTAGCATATCTGTTCGTTTCTGTTACTATCTCCGGAATAATTTCTTCCGTTACAAAGAGATTAGAAGTATCAAATTGCGTCGCGATGATAAAACTGTTTCGTTGCCTTCGCAGCATCCTCATATTATGAACTCTATATCACACCATATGGCCTATCAACATTGCACTTTCCCTTATATAAATGGTCTGTGTTCGAGATCGGCCGAAGGTGCTCGCAAGGCACCCTCCTCAGCAATGTGAATGTAAAATCTTCCATCAATCAAAAATTGTTAAGCATAACGGCCTTTGAGTGGCGAGACTGCTTTAAAAAAACGTTAATGTTTCATTCAAACGATTTCTAATTGATTCATCGTCAATTTCGAACGTAAGCTTAGTGAAATGTTTCCGTACCACGATAGACCTGAACCATCTCATGAATGACATTCGTGATGCAGTCGCCAACATTCATATTGAGATGCTGGAAAGAGTGGACATTAATTTCCGGGCAGCACGACTGACACGATGTATTGACAATAGAGGACGTCATTTGCGTGATATCTTCTTCAAAACTGACAAATTATAAAATATACTTCTTGATTATGCTATCACAAAATTAATTTTTATATATTCAATACTTTTATTAAAAATATGTTTCAAATAAGCAAGTTCATTCGCCCCACCCTGTACTACTTCATCAATTAAATAAAGTTTTTAAATTCGTTATCATTTTGAATGTGCTGAAAGGGTACAGTAAATTCAGCTAATTTTGTCCTAGATTTACTGTAAAATACCGTACTGTATTATCGAATGTACTGTATTATAGATAAACCATGGCATTCAAGAGATTAAGATTCAAGAGGATGTTGTCCACGCGCCCTGAGGTCTTGTAATTTTCCATCAACCTCTATCACGTCTACTGAATATTACGTCTCAGTTACAGATGATCTAATATTACAATGTAATTATAATGAATATAATGAGACGCCTGATTGACATCGGAAAATGTAAACAACCTATTTTTCACTAATTAGGAACTTCGACATTCAAAAAGATGAAGAAAACTGCTTCGCAGAAAATAATATTTTATTCATCACATAGGAGAACTTTAGGCATACCTAGCAGCAAACGAATTGGTGTATATACATATCTTATAAATCAAACTGATATATACACTAATTATTTTCGTTCGGAGAAACATCGCATGAAAAATGCATGCACATTTGCTTTACAGAAACGAATAAGAGATCCTAAATGTGAAGCAGTCATTAGATTCTAAGAGATTACGCATAAAATATGCCAACATTTAATGACTCTCTTCATTATCCAGAACCAAATTTAATTTTTCTCCGTTGAGGACAGAAGAAGAGAATCCTAATCCCGATAAGAAACAAGAAACAATAGCGGCCATATAATTTCATTAATGCGTTGAAAATGCACGCGGATTCGGTATCAATATATGGGCTAAAACAAAATAACGGTTATGTGTACGATCCAGCAGGCGGCGTTGGTGTGGCGGCAAGCCACCTGCCACAACAAGGGCCTCCTCCTTCAGCAGGCAGCGTTGGTGTGGCGGCAAGCCACCTGCCACAACAAAGGCGTCCGCACTTCAGTCACGAGACCCGTCACGAGGCAGCTGCGATATTTGTTCAACATGTCTTCGTCAGACTCAGGAGGCTCTAGAAACTCTGAGATCGGGATGAACTTCTCTATGTCAGACGGCTTAAGTCGGACCAAAGGAAGAGCATCAGAAAGATCTCCCCAGAGAAGGGCCCGGTACTGCACCGGATAGCATTGCAGGGTTGGTAGGAGCAACATTACAGCGAACGTGTGGTCGCCGTATGACACAGCAATGTATTGCTCTATCATTTTCTTGTACCAGTCGTACGTGTTGCCCAAACCAGCAAATTGTAACCTGTCGTCGAATAGTTTGTGCCCGGCATCTCGTAGCAGCTCATGCAGACATCCCTGTAAGTATGAACTGATGTTGCGGTCCAAGAAAAGGTCGTTTGCCACCAGGAACGTGAGTGACAAGTGACGCAGCCAACCTGTGACGCACGTGCTCCTGAAGGCGCATTTCCTACGATGGCGCAGACAGACGTAGGCCAGCTGCAGGCTGCGTGCCGCATCAACGAGCACCTCGGGCTTAGACTGATCACTTTCACTATCGGATGAACTTAGCACTGGTTTCCCAGGGTTTTTCTTTGCTTCTTCGTTCGCCAAAGTAATATCCAAAATTTTTTTAAGCATCATTTTCTTCAAAGGAAATAGAGGCCAATAATCATCGAAGATAGTTAGAGTTTCGTGATGAGGTACCACAATACTATTCAAAAGGAATGGAATTTCTTTGTGCCAAACAACACTTTGTTTCAATGCTTTGCTGTCAAATAGGGACGATGCTAGCGAACTGCCAATATGATCGAGGTCTTCAGTCAATTTCCGGGTAAGGTCTGCAGGGTGCAAGCAGGGCTGCCTTAAAGCAGGTGATTTAAGAGGCTCGTAATCATCTAACGTCATATCACCAACGCCTGATGACAGCTCTGTCAAGTCAGTGATGAAGTCCAGGTTACAGACAACTCGGGTCAGCAAGCTCCTGGCTATGTGTTCCTGCCCCTTCTGCAGGCAGCTCATGACGCTGAGGGCAGCGCAGTGATACAAATACTTGGACTTGAGCGACCGCAGGAAGGAGACAATGAGCAACACGTTGCTCAGGAACTCTACTTCGATTCTCGTCATCCACTGATACTGTAAGGCCAGAGGCTGCACCTCCACAATGGCCTTCAGGTACGCCTGCAGGTGCGGGTTGGTCACAAACGCATGAAGCGCCTTTTTGGGCAAACCAGGGTGCAGTTCCATGAGCGTAACAAGAAGCCTACACAAGGGTAAGAGTAGCGGCAGTGGAGACTCAGACGACAGCATTGGAATAATTTTGCCCTCCATAGTGATGCAGTTTAAAGACGAGAGATTTTTAGCGTCTTCAACTATACTCGACGTGAGGCCCGAGCAGAGCGAAGAGTGAGCCTGGGTGCGGGAAAGCAGTTCAGAGAAACAGGAACTCTCGAGCAAAGGACACAAAGCCTTCGCATAAAAATCCTCAATGGCGGAGAGATATTCGGGAGCTGAACAGCCAATTTGGTCTTTGCTCTTCCTGAAAAAATTTTCGGTAAATAAGAGTGCGGACCCCAGTAGACTAAGGCCTGCATAGCTGGAATGACCACGACTCAGTTGCGTGCACCACTTCAAGCAGCAGGTAATGGCCAGCTGGGCTAAGGGCACGGCAGTGCCCCACTCAATGATTGGCGGCTGTAGCGCCTCTCCGTGAGTTTCATCGAGGCCCACTCTTAGCCCTGCGTGCTGCTTCACCTGCCGATCCAGGAGCGTCTTGGTAGAGGCAACGCTCACAGCTTTTCTCAGAGAACTAAATAAGTGTGCGCCAAGCTCAAAGTTGAGCTGGTTGCTGCCAGTGTCTTCATTGATGGCCACTTTGTCTCTGTAGAAGTGCAGATGACGGATCAGTAGCGGCAGGAACGACAACAGCGACTCCTGTGCCTGCATGAGCCCGAAGCCCAGCAGGACGCTGAAGAGTTCGTGCGCTGCGACGGAGAGCTGCAGCGCCTCGCTCAGAGGGAGCGCCATCTCGGTGGGCTCCACCGACATGAAGGTGAGCAGCCGCGTCATTATCCCGTGCTTGGTGACCACCTCCTTGGATATGTTAGGGCCCCAACTGCATAGTACCTGTAGGAAAAGTCAAAATTCAAAGACAGACATAAAACCTAAACAAGACCTAACATTATAACGAAATAAACAGGACTAGTTTGGAACAACTTAGTCCTAGGGGTACGACAAGAATATAAAATCCTAGCGATTTACTATTGGTACGTGATAAAGATCCTGTTTGTAAAGGTGAATAGTAGAGGTAGAAAAACGCTTAGGGAACCAAACATTGCAGTTAATTGTAAACGAGAGTAGATGCTGACGATATGCCATAGAATTTAAACCGCGATTTGTGGTCCATAAGAAAAATTTCAATATATTAATATTGAAATATTAATATTAATATTTCTTAATAAATATTAAAAATATTACCATATTAATTAATAATATTATTAATAATATTAATAATATTTAATAATAATAAATAATATTAATAATATTAATAATATTACCAAGGAAAAAAAATAACCCTAAAATAAAATATTACCAAGGAAAGTGTTTGAAAAATATAGCTTTCAAACCTAACATTGTTCGTCAGTAATACATACAGAATGTCTTCGGACGATAATTGTCAAACTGTACTTGGTAACCCATTGCCAAGAAGTACAATAAACAAGGAGTGAAGAAGCTTGAAACCTTCATCCACAAATAAATAATAATCTTAAAAACTTTTTCAACAGTGACGTAAGTGATGTTAAATAACGTAACAATTAATCAAGAGCGTTAATAATTTCTCTGTCACTGTCAAGCTCCACGATAAGTTCATTATCTACGCAATAAGTTCATTATCTACGCAATAAGTTCATTATCTACGCAATAAGTTCATTATCTACGCGATAAGTTCATTATCTACGCGATAAGTTCATTATCTACGCGATAAGTTCGTTATCTATCTCTACCTTGACGAGGGCGAGGACGTGTCTGAGGGGCACCCCGTGCAGGGAGGTGACGGTGACGACGTTATCGCCGGCGGTGATGGCGGCGGAGTCGTGGGGCAGGTGGCGGGACACAAGGACGCTCAGGAGACCCTCACAGGACGCCACCTCCCAGGCGGCGGTGAGGGAGTGCGCCGCCACGCGCGTCAGCACCGACACCAGCTGCGGCACGCACTCCGGTGGCGGCGACAGCTCCTCCAGCGTGTACCTGCAGTCACACAAACGCGTTATGACTGGAAACTTACATGGAAATAAGCTGGCCAGTTCAGGTATTACCTGCAGGCAAAATTAATGCGTAGTGAGTTAGAATTGTGAGGGGTGTCAACTTTTGGTACATGGAGATAAAGCTTGGAAGTTACGATAGCAGTTCAGGTATTACCTGCAGGCAAAATTAATGCGTAGTGAGTTAGAACTGTGAGGGGTGTCAGCTTTTGGGATACTAGTTTGAATCAAGCAAAGAAATGTCATAGATAATTCATCAGCAGCGATACCTGAAACTACTTTTCTGGAGGCTGGAGCAGAGGCATCAGGCGAACAACGCGTTCCCGCCAAAGCGAGACTGCAGGGTAACCTTCATTGGTCTTTCTCCAGGAAGGTTAGAAACAAACGGGAAGGAAGAAAGAATGGAGTCTGCCAATAGGCAGCTTACTAGGCGTATCCTCTCAAGAGTTCTCAGTCTTACTAGGCGTATCCTCTCAAGAGTTCTCAGTCTTACTAGGCGTATCCTGTCAAGAGTTCTCAGTCTTACTAGGTGTATCCTCACATGAGTTCTCAGTCTTACAAGGCGTATCCTCTCAAGAGTTCTCAGTCTTACAAGGCATATCCTATCACCGCAGAGGACACGCCTAGATCTCAGAGTACAACAAGGTCCAAGCCGTCCTACTGATCGCCCCAAACGAAACCATTCTCACGCGCCCTATCGCCTACGGCCTACGCGGACCCAAAGAAAGGGCGTCTGCAGTTACCTTGCGCTGCACTTCCTTCAGAAGGGGCGCCGCCCCTCCAATCGCAGCATACACAAAGTGTGGGGATCCCTTACACTATACGCAGCATCTCTTATCCTGTCCGTTCTACTAAACGACCCTTCAGCCACCTCAATGCGGCAGGTCCTCTCCGGGCTGCGACCTTTGTGGTCTTTGTCTCATCATTTTGCCCCCTCACTTCAGGTCGCCGTATCTGCCAACTAATCGCCCTCCTCCATACAATGCGCCTGAATGTTCGTCGCAGCAAACCACAACAAGCGTTCACGCAGTTTATTTCCCAGCAAATGATTAATAAAAGCAGAATTCCCAAAAATTGTAACCTTGTTTCTTTGGGAAATGTGTTAATTTAAGCCTTCAAAGTTCAAAGCTATGATCACGTCTCTTAAGTGAGCCTCATAGTAGATCTACACATCAGGTAACTCTCTCCTTTACAGGCCAAACCTTGACAATCTCTTTAACTATAACCTGTGAAAACTCTCGCCTCTCCTTGATGTGGGTTTCTATCTCCTGATTTAGTAATTTAGTATCCAACTTAACCTTAATCAATCCTGATTGACCAGTCACATGAGTACCAATCCTGATTGACCTGGTCAGTCAGCTCAATCCTGATTAATATAGTACCAATCCTGATTGACCTGGTCAGTCAGGTCAATCCTGATTAATACAGTACCAATCCTGATTGACCTGGTCAGTCAGGTCAATCCTGATTAATATAGTACCTACCAATCCTGATAGACCAGAATATCGTGATGATCATCTGCAGCTACCCTCACCTGACCCTGACGAGAGTATCAATCCTGATAAGGGCTCTGACAACATCCAGCTGCAGGAGCTCGGCATCCTTCAGCTCAGTCTCCTCAGCCTTCAGCTCAGCCTGCACCTGTAAACAGTTAGTTAGTTTAGTGACCCAATGATCACTAGCGCTTCAGCTGCTAAGCTATCTCGCGCCGGCACCTATAAACAATATTCGTGTCAGGGTCTCCGCTAACGCAGGAAAAGAGACCAGGGCCTATACTTTCATAAGAGTTAAGAGATAGTAAGTACATCAGCCAATCATTGACGGCCTTTCAAGCAAAATCCACCAATCATAGACAAGAAAATAGAGCGTAAGTACTTACGTTCACTTAGCGAGTTTTGAAAGTATAGGCCCTGAGAAGCAACATCGCGGGATTTCATTCAGCCGCTGCAGTCATCAGAAGCTGAATTTATTAAATAATGAGACGCTGAGTTAGCAGTAGCAAGATAGCAAGATGGCTCCAGCGTGACCTGGGACTACTACGTCTCAAACACATACTAAGGAGAAAAGAGTTGAGTTTGTGATGCCTTAGCTATGTAGGGTGGAGTCGGTCTATCTAGGACACTCTACAGTTAACGCTAGTCGGGCATCTAACTTGAAAGTCGTCGAGTTTAAAAAGTCGTTACAAGTTTAAATTGTATCCTGTAAAGAGACCTTGTAACTATATTCTTTATTGCATTTTAAGGACCGAGTTTACTGCGTCCTCGTTACCTTCGTTCTAGCCTAGAGGCCTTAAGTTGAGCTTTAAGTCATAAATAGAAGAATTAAGAAGTTATAAGTGTAATTTACCGACCAGTTCAACCATTATCGTGGCTTATCCGGAACAAGGTCTGACATAATCGACACAGGCTAACAATGAAAATTCCTGGGCCTATACTTTCAAAAAAAGTCAAGAGATCGTAAGTTCATCCGCCAATCATTGACGGCCTTTCAAGCAAAATCCACCAATCATAGACAAGAAAATAGTGCGTAAGTACTTACGTTCACTTAGCGAGTTTTGAAAGTATGGCCCCTGCTCGTTAAATCACGAATTCTCGATGAAAAAGCTTCTGCGTGTTCAAATAATTCGACATTTCCTAATTATGCAGTCGAAAATGAAACGTCTACTTACGAGTAACGTGCTTCACAGGCATGGTTTAGCAGAGATACATCTACACCTGTCAGTAATACAGACAAAATAGCAATAAATTCCCAAAGCTAGTAACCCGAGACACGTTATCTAATCCTATCCGTAATATTGTAGCAGGTCGCTAATTTGTGCTTGATTAGTAGCATTATTTGTGCTTGATTAGTAGCATTATTTGTGCTTGATTATTGTGAAGGAACCTCATGTCAGGCAGAGGCCATCATGCGCTGCTCTCAGCCACACAGGCGGATGGGTTTCCCTGATAAGGACGAGAATCCGGCGCCATGGTGAGCCATGTCATGAGATGCACACGCTACACATTTCGCTCATTCAACACGCTCTGTTGAATGGGTGAAATGGTGCCATGGTGAGCCATGTCATGAGATGCACACGCTACACATTTCACTCATTCAACACGCTCTGTTGAATGGGTGAAATGGTGCCATGGTGAACCATGTCATGAGATGCACGCGCTACATATTTCACTCATTCAACACGCTCTGTTGAATGGGTGAAATGGTGCCATGGTGAGCCATGTCATGAGATGGACACGCTACACATTTCACCCATTCAACACGCTCTGTTGAATGAGTGAAATGAAGCAATGCTGTGTTGTTTAGGGACTCACTAATGCTTTCTGTTGTAGGATCGCGTACAATTTTTCACTCTAAGCTCAAAATTTCCCTATGTTCGAAATAAGGCATCATTTAAAATTCGCATCCAGGTTTATTCCAACACGTAAAAATACCAAACATGAATATCGTCTTGATTCACATTTGACATCACGAGCATCCTGAAGTGTTCCTAAAGCCATTTGTGAAGTTTATCACAACTGGGCTTGTTGGTATAATAAGTAAATTTCAAAAGGTAGTAGTTATAACAATGGCTACGTTCATTACGGAGTTCGGTCCATCACAATATCTTACCCACAGCTGACCTCATACCTATACAGACGCTGCAGCTGACCTCATACCTATACAGACACTGCAGCTGACCTCATACCTATACAGACGCTGCAGCTGACCTCATACCTATACAGACGCTGCAGCTGACCTCATACCTATACATAGACTACGGCTGACCTCCTGCTTGGCATGCATGGCGCTGGCGACGGCCGGTCTGAGGGCGCCGCTCCAGGGCGTGAGGGCGGCCAAGGGCGTCTCGAGGGCGTCGCTGGCGAGGAGGGCGGCCAGGGCGGCGACCCCCGAGTGCCGCACGGCGGCCACCGCGTCGTCCAGGGCGAAGCGCAGCAGCAGCACCACGCCAGAGTCCAGCTACACACGCACGCAACAGTCAGGCAAGGAACTTAACTATAATTACAATTTAAATACAACATCAAGTTAGTTTAATAATAGTCATCAGAGTTCAGCTGCAAACTCAACAATCAAGCAAGGGAATAAATGATAATTACTATTTAAACACAACATCAAGTTTGTTTAATAATAGTCATCAGAGTCCAGCTGTACACGCACGCAACAGTCAAGCAAGGGAATAAATGATAATTACTATTTAAATACAACATCAAGTTTGTTTAATAATATTCATCAGAGTTCAGCTGCACACGCACATAACAATCAAGCAAGGGAATAAATGATAATTACTATTTTAACACAACATTAAGATAGTTTAATAATAGTCATCAGAGTCCAGCTGCACACGCATGCAACAATCAAGCAAGGAATTCAACGATAATTACTATTTTATGACCACATTAATGCTTACTATTTAAATACAACATTAAGATAGTTTAATAATAGTCATCAGAGCTTAGAGGACTAGTGAAGTCAAGAGTGCAGTTAATATGGGTTCTTTCTTGGTCACGAGACTTCGTCAGAGCTGTAATTTCTAATTAATGACTTGATCAGGTATGCACTGGATGACGTAGGTATACATTCGGTCGATGTATATGTGATAATTACATGTATGGTCAGAGCTCTGGTGAGTGGGTGATTAATGGGTGTACAAACGTAGACGAGATTGCTGCGATTGTGGTTCTGGTATACAAGCTTTCTGTATTTGTGGAAGACCTGTGATTGCGTACTGTTTCATTAATGAGAAGGCCATGAGAAAAAAGTAGTGCATAGTGCAGGAGAAGCTGAATGTTGCGCTAGGTGCTTGTCCATGAAGAGATGGCAGGTAGGGAATATGGTGAGGCGAAAATGTTATTAGGGGAAGGTAAAAGAAATTTTCTAAATTGCAAAGAATATAACTAACACAATATACGTCAATATTGACGCATAGATGAAAAAAATTGTGGCACTTCGCCAGGCATCACGCAAATATTGACACTGAAAAGATTTAATTTGCGGTCTCCATTTATATATTTGCATTTACAGAAGGGAAAATTTTAGGAGATTTATATGTATTTAAGATATCTGCGAGCAGTGGAATGAAGACTTTGGTCATTTACATACAACTTGTGCATTTGTTAATCTTGCTCTGTCGGGAGCCAAGAGCTTGGGACAAAACAGATGTTCGGATGTTTCAGTTTGTTTCAGAGTTTCAGTTTATTTTATTTCATATTTTTCAGTTTATTTCAGAGGATGAAATTTTCATCAATTCTTGCTTTTTGTTCAAGCAGTGAAAAGAAACGTGGGATAAAACACGCCAATTTTTGTTTTCAATTTTTGCTCGAGCATTGAACCAATTTGCAGTATTTTGCAGGCATTACGGCTTACAGCACAAGAATACAAGAACCAAGCTACGTAAATAATCCAACAACAAATCATGACCAGCGTTTGCAGCAGGGGCGCCTGGAAGCAGCAGTAGTAGCCTCCCCTGGCGAGTCTAGTGAGGATGGCAGTCAGGACATTGAGCGCCAGTTAATATAAGGACCAAGCTACGTAAATAATCNTTGAGCGCCAGTTAATACAAGAACCAAGCTACGTAAATAATCAAACAACAAATCATGACCAGCGTTTGTAGCAGGGGCGCCTGGAAGCAGCAGTAGTAGCCTCCCCTGGCGAGTCTACTGAGGATGGCAGTCAGGATATTGAGCGCCAGTTAATACAAGAACCAAGCTACGTAAATAATCCAACAATAAATCATGACCAGCGTCTGCATCAGGGGCGCCTGGAAGCAGCAGTAGTAGCCTCCCCTGGCGAGTCTAGTGAGGATGGCAGTCAGGACATTGAGCGCCAGTTGCCGCTGCTGTGCCACCGCCGAGCGAGCGTACATGAAGACCTCGTCCAGGGAGTAGCCCGCACGCTCTGTAATAAACAACTGCACTGTAGTCTTATAGGTGATATTTAAAAAAAATTGCGGGAACAATTCTTATAATACTATAACAGAATACTAGTTAAGTGATAAAGATGACATAAAATATACAATTAAGCAAGGTATTTTAGGTTAGAAAGAGACACTAATAACATTAATTATCGAATGTTTATCTAAGCAAGTAAGTCCTTTTTCATTACAATAGTATTTTTATACAAGCATTGATAGTGTTAAAAAGTCCCCAGACATGATCTTGAATTCCCAAAAGTACTCCGTACAAAATTGTGCAATTACTTGACACAGCAATGATGTATATAATAACATGTATAAAAAAAATTTTTAAAGACCACGTTTTTCATGTGGACTAAAAAGTAGATAACATGTATAAAAAAAATTTTTAAAGACCACGTTTTTCATGTGGACTAAAAAGTAGAAAATAATTTTTCGGCAGCTACTGATCTCCGTTTGATTTCATTCTCTTGGTCTTTTGTATTTCAGTTAAAATATTTTACATCTAAAACGAAAAACGTGGGGCGCATCTTCATTTAG